GCGTAATAGCGTAGCGTGTAGCGTAGTCTGTGATAACGGCTATCCATTTGTTTCCCAATGTTGATGTGGGAAAAGGACCAAGCAGGTCTAACCCAACACGGTAAAATGGTTCCGCGGGTATGTCAATTGGTTCAAGATGGCCAGCGGGTAGCAGCGATGGTGTCTTACGACGTTGGCATAGGTCACATGTGGCGACGTATCGGCGTACCAAACGAGCAAGGCCTGGCCAGAAAAAACGGCGCCGGACGCGCTCGTACGTGCGGGATACGCCAAGGTGTCCAGCCGTGGGAGCGTCGTGAAGTTCGGTGAGAACACAGCGGCGCAAATGCTTAGGCACAACAATGAGAAGGTCGGGCCCGTCTAGTCGGAAATTGCGACGGTATAGCACACCCTTTTGAATGACAAAGTAGCGGACGGAAGCATCATTTGTGGAGGATTCCATACGGCTGATGATGTCAAGCAGCTCTGGATCACGCTTCTGTTCTTCCCCAATATTAAGGAAGTCGGACACTGACAAGATAGAGTTCTCCGTGGGCTCGTCAGTGTCCTCAGGATCGTCGACAGGGTACCGGGAGAGGCAATCGGCATCACGGTGTAGGTGGCCAGATTTGTAGACCACCGAATAGGAAAACTCTTGCAGGCGCAAAGCCCAGCGACCAAGGCGGCCTGATGGATCTTTCAGAGAGTTCAGCCAGCAGAGTGCGTGGTGGTCGGTAACTACCGAAAATGGGCGTCCGTATAGATAAGGTCGAAATTTCGCTACCGCCCATACAAGAGCCAAGCACTCACGCTCTGTTATCGAATAGTTACGTTCAGGGGCGGATAGGAGGCGGCTGGCATATGCAATAACGCAATCATGGCCATGTTGTTTCTGAGCCAGCACTGCACCAATGCCATGCCCACTTGCATCTGTACGGATTTCCGTAGGGGCAGCAGGGTTGAAGTGTGCCAGAATCGGAGGGGTAGTGAGAAGAGCGACGAGAGTCGAGAACGCAGAAGCCTCTTCGGAGCCCCATGAAAACGGGACTTCTTTCTTGAGGAGCTGCGTAAGCGGCCTCGCTATGTGCGCAAAATTTTTCACGAAGCGTCGGAAGTAGGATCATAGTGCGATAAAGCTGCGTACATCCTTCGCAGATCGTGGTACAGGAAAGTTTTTGACGGCGCTGATTTTGCCGGGTCTGGTTGTACACCGTTGGCGTCTACTAAATGGCCAAGCACTGTGATTTGATGGCGTCCAAAGTGACATTTGGACGAGTTGAGCTGCAGGCCAGCACGACGGAAGATTCCCAGGATGGCTGAGAGGCGCTCTATGTGTGTTTCAAACGTTGGTGAAAAGACGATGACGTCGTCCAAGTAGCACAAACATGTGGACCATTTGAATCCTCTGAGCAGGGACTCCATCATTCGTTCGAAGGTGGCTGGAGCGTTACAAAGGCCGAAGGGCATGACCTTGAACTGATATAGGCCATCGGGGGTGATGAATGCCGTCTTTTCACGGTCCATTTCATCTACCTCTATCTGCCAGTAGCCGGAACGAAGGTCTATGGAGGAAAAATAGTGGGACCCATAGAGGCAATCAAGCGCATCATCTATTCGTGGCAGAGGGTAGACGTCTTTTTTGGTAATTTTGTTTAGGTGTCGATAATCCACACAGAAACGCCATGCACCGTCTTTCTTGCGGACTAGCACTACAGGAGAAGCCCAAGGACTGCAAGATGGGTCAATGATGTCCTTGGCGAGCATTTTGTCGACCTCACTTTGGATGATGTGACGCTCGGCCGCCGACACCCGATATGGGCGCCTATGAATAGGATGCTCATTACCAGTGTTTATGCGGTGGCACATACCGGTAGCTTTCCCCAACGGACGGCCGCTGATGTCAAATACGTCGATGTAGGACAGCAGAACCCGGTGGAGCTCATCAGTCTGCTGCGGTGTTAAGTTGGAAGCTATCATCGAAGTAATAGCGCTGTCGGAGCAAGTGGCAGACTGATGTTGAGCGTGGGGTTCAGAAGGGGCGGCCATCGCGAAAACATCTACCGCATTGTCTTCTAAGGTGCAGAGCAACGCTAAAGACATCCCTTGCGGCAAAACTTGAGGTGTCAAGCTAAAGTTGACAACTGGGAGGCACGTAGAATTTCCTGCGACGGACAGAATGGTGTGCGGTAATGTAATGCCACGGCTTATGAGAACATCGGTGATAGGGGTCAGAACATAGTCACCGTCGGGAACTGGTGGTATTGAGACGAGCTCTATGTAGGTCAGTGTCTGTGGAGGGAGGCGCGCGTGTCCCGTTGTGCAGAGGCGACTCGGCCGTTGTGTAAGAGGTTCTGTTGCGGGCAAGTGTAGACGGAGCGTACTGGTCGAACAGTCTATGAGGGCAGAATGCGCGGATAGGAAGTCGAGGCCTAAGATTACGTCGTGGGGGCATTTATCAAGGACGGTGAAGAGAACAACTGTGTGTCGATCCGCAATGCTCACACGAGCGGAGCACATTCCAACGATCGATGCTATGCCACCATCCGCAACACGGACGAACTGGGTGGTCGCAGGTGTGAGAACCTTCTTGAGCTTGCGGCGAAAATCACTCGTCATCACGGAAAGTTGGGCGCCGGTGTCGACAAGAGCAGTGACATGTAGGCCGTCTACTTGTACGTCTATGAGGTTCCGTTTTGTCGGTATCGTCAAAAGAGGATTTTCGGTCGGTCCGAGCGATGCAGCGCCACCTCCGGGGGCTGCAACGCTTAGTTTTCCGTCGGAGAACCTCGTGGGAAGGCGGGGGAAGATGGTCGGCGGGGCTGTGGAGAACGAGACTGGCGACGTTGGGGGGATGGAGAGCGGGAGTAGCGGCGTTCAGAAGCAGGTCCCTGGGCAAAATGGTCGCGGTTGGTCTCATGGCGATAGGCAGGACGTGCATGTAAGGGACGAGAGGACGGTTGTGCAGGAGGACCCCAGCGACTTCTGCAATGGCGAGAAATGTGCCCGATTCTGTGACACGAGAAGCATATCGGCTTGTCATCGTGTGTTCGCCATGCGGACGGATTACGGAACGTTGAGGGAGAGCCGGTCGGGAAGGGACGTGCAGGCGTGAATCGGGGCTGGTAGTCGGTGCGGGTAGGCGGTGAGATAGAGTGAATTCCCAAGCTGGCGATTTCCTGCCGGACGACTGCTTGAATGAGAGGCAACGTAATTGGCGGAGAGGGGTCAGGGGACGTTGTTCCCACCTTAGCTGGAGCAGCCGCTTCAAGCTCCCGCCTGACGATTCGCGTCAAGTTGTCACAGTTGTCTGGTGGATGATATGTGTCGAGACATGAGGACGTCGCAGTGGTGTTCGGGAGGCGCTGGAACTGATGGGAGATGCGTCTGCTTTCAGCTTGTTGGAACCGGCGGCATTCTTGAATGATGGCATCAACAGACGACACATTGTTGAATACCAACAAGTTGAACGCATCGTCGGCGATACCCTTTAGGATATGGGCAACTTTTTCAGGTTCAGACATATTTTCGTCAGCTTGGCGGCATAGTGAAAGGACAGCCTGAATATAACCGATGTAGGGCTCCGTGGAAGATTGTGCGCGAGTCGACAACTCATTTTTCGCAGCTTCACGACGACCAGAGATGTTGCCAAAAGCTCACGGATCTTTGCCTTGAAGCTGTCCCAGCTTGTTATGTCATGCTCGTGGTTATCAAACCAAACACGAGGTGTTCCGTCGAGATAAAAGATGACGTTTGCCAGCATAAGAGTGGGATCCCACCTGTAAGTGGCGCTGACGCGTTCGTAGAGGCGTAGCCACTGGTCGACGTCGGAACCCTCGCTGCCCGAGAACACGCCGGGGTCTTTGAGCGCGGGAAGCGTCACGAATGTTGTTGCGGGCGCTGGGTTGACAGGTCGGGCAGAAGGGGGAGCGACCGGAGAGGATGTAGCCGAGTCTTGGGTGGTCATGTTGTAAGCCGCGAGTGAGCGTCCGCTTCGGAGTTCCGTGGCGAGGACGGGGATCGCACAACTCCACCAAATATGTTACGTGAAGGAGACTGATTCAGAGGGGTAGTCACCGATGTATTTTCAGACGGTTAGGCGAGCAGCGCCAGCCACACAGATTAGCTCGTGCCAGTCTATCTGCTTCGACTTCTTCAGCTCCATGCACTGGCACGTAGCAATATTGCAGCACTGTGTGGCGAAGAATATACGATTGCGTACATTTCAAAGATAGCTACAAGTCGCTTGTTCTTCTCTCAGCAAATCCTGTTACATGGCCCGTCTACATCATAGTCGTACCTGCACCGCACTCTACAGTAATTAGTAATTAGACAAATGGCACTATAGCATGCTGGTAATAGCGACAAAAATGGGCCGACGCTCATATTCGTCGATAAGATTGTACTGAAGGTCTCGACGCGATGAGGCGTATATCTTCTTGCCCCTTGACAATCCAACCGCCTCCACCCATCCGCTATGTGTAATTTTTAATGTGCTCGCGCGGGGACTAAAGGAGAGAAAAAGCGCTCCAAACTCTGTTCGTGATTGACAGATTTTGTCTTTTTTTGTGGCAGTCTATTAGTGAGACAATGAATTATGATAGTGAGATCACTCAATAATTCCTTGGAAAAATTTTGCATGGGCCCAGCGCCACAACAGGTAACCACACTAACCCCACCATTGTAAGTACGGGGCCGCTGGACAAAGGGTCCGTGAAAGACAGTAATCATCACCTTGTTGGTAAGTCTGGGTGATAACAATGAAACAAAGCATCATGATAAGCCCTAAATGTTGTAGCTGTTCTGTCTAGGCATGCGCATGCTATGAGCACGTGAAGGCTAGCCTGGCCTAGCGACTGCAGTAACGTTGAGTTGAACGAACCATCCCATTTTGCAAAGAGGGAAAAAAAATGGCGTGAAGCGTTGTAACTTGTACGGTGCAGCTTTGCCCTGCCGATCTCCCATATTTCGCCAAATCGTACGGCCGCCATGGCAGAAGATCAGGCAACACTGATGCTGCTGACATCTTTCCACCGCTCTCACGGTTCGCTTTCTGCGCTTCCTGTTTGATAGCGAAGTTCATTTTAGGAATTCCTCTGTAATGGTATTACTTGTCTGTTCGGCTAATTCACCTCTGCATGCTCCACGTGAGTGCTGATACGTTTGTGGTTCACCTGGATTCCAGCATTTAGTTGCTCTTTCATTGTAATAACCGTTGGCAATGCTATCCTACTGATGTACTACGCCTTGACGGCAAACATTCTCTCGCATTCGAAGCGGCCGGTTATTCCTCTTGAGGACTTCTATTTATGGAATGCCGTCGCGAAAGAGTTCTACGGCATACGTTCGCGAAGTTTTTCGCAACGCCCTATTTCCGCCTTTTCCTCGGCTGTTTAGTACGTGTCCTTTCTCTTACTATATTGTTATTTTATATGTGACGGTATTTACATACGTGCGCAAATTAACTAGCGGGAACTAATTAGTCGCCCAAAAATTAATGGACGCAGTTCATTAGTTGACTGTTGCTGTGGTTTCGAAGGCCGTTTTGTCAAAGCAATTCGTGCCTTCATTGCCTGCACACCTGTTGCTGCTGGCTCGCGCCGTTCCCTCAACAGCTGCTTCGACCAAGCGTATCGCTGGTGTCATGCGCTGCGCCTAGCTGCCTGAGTTGTTGTCGATCTTGGAACTGATATTGATTGAAGGCGCCTTCCATAGTGGACGGCGAAGTGTTTTTGTTTTATTTGTCTGGTGCCACTGACAGCTGTCAAGAGAGAGAGAGAGAAAAAAAGAAATGGCTATCCGAGGGGTAAAAGAATAGATGTTGGAACTGGGACGCTGGACTGCCAGTGTTGAGTGAGGCAGTTTTCGATGTTGTGCGCCTCGAAACGCGGCTTTGGTAAACACTAATCACTACTGGTCAAGGCATTGCCCAGCGGGCACTGTCTCAATGCTTAGCCGCGTTTATTTATAATTTCCCATTGGGAGTCTATTCGTGTGAATGTATCCGTTACGAAACCTGACTTGAATGAACGTCAAAATCATATACACGGCGCGGCTGTGTGTCATTACTGTTATATTACTTCAATGACTTTGTGGGTAAGGAATTAACAAGTACTTGCCAGACAATTATTCTATCTGTTAAAAATAATCTGCACTGATGAAAGTAACACGATGGCATGTATATTGCTGACGACTGTGTGTGTGTGTGTAATTTTATCACATCTGTAATGCCATTTACTTCATGTTTTACTGTTTTATTAAGCAGACATGTATTTTTTATGAGTGACACAAATATAGTTGCTTTATTGCACTTTAATTTTATATCTCGTATATTCTTTATTGTAAGTACTTTGCTCCGATGTGCCTCACATTCTTGTAAAATTTTACAGAAATGAACACATATTATTCAGGCAGCAAAGTTTCCTACTGAACGATAAGGTCAGATCCAAGTAACTTTGCGGAGTGCTAAAACGAAATTGTTTTGCTTGCTTTACTGTATTCTATAGCTGTCAACCCCGTAATTATAGGTTATGACACCAGAATAGCTTGTGCATACAAGTAGTTCTTAAATATATGCTTTTTTAATGTGACCTGTTCAGAACTTTTCCCAATCGAAGTGTGGATTTTTGACATAATGTTTATGAGGACTCTTTTACACATCATAAAATTGCACATAGTGGTCATTTGGTACTATTCTAAAGTACTGATGCATGTTTTGGCTAACCAGGTGTAATGCTTCAAACCACATGCTTGTATCACTGACAGTTGGATGGGTGCTGCATGGGCGGTTCTTTGTACACTGCATTTCTGTTTGACATGAGCTAGCAAACTTGGTCGCTTGCAGTCACTCCTTTTAGATTATCGAACAAGCTCCTTACCTTTCTTGCCATGTTATGTTGCCTGAATTTGTCAGTGCGGCTTTGAACATTATGTTGTACCAATATATGCAAAACTGTGATACCACAAGGTGCCACATCCCTATTTGTCTAAGAAACTCTCGTGAACAAACTCAAGGCCACTTCCATGGGGTGCACATTCAATATATCGAACTCTCGTACATGTTTACATCAACCTATCTAGCAAAGAAAAAAAACGTGACCAAACATAATGTGAAATACTTCTGTGTGTGTACTCCTTTAAAGGGTCAAAATTGCTTATTGGGCAAGTTGGTGATTCATGACACTTGAAATACAAGCGTGTAACTAAAACAGGAACTGAAGAAGACGGGGACAAGCGTGCATTGCAAGCTTACCGTATCTAATAAAGAGCCTGTTTTCTTGGAGAGTGGCATATGCCTTAGGTGTTCAGTATTTTCAGCAAGGCAATATGGGTTTTCACTTGGCGTGGCAGTAATATTTTTCATCAGCTGTGTTTTGTAATGTTTTTCATTGTGTTCTCTTATTGTATGTTCTTAGAGAACTATTTATCCTCTGTCGCGGTGGAGCTGTGGTTATACTGCTCGGCTGGCTGTTGCGGTGCCCCACCATGACGTTCGCATTTCCAGGAGGCAAAATCCTGGATTCCCATGTACTGTGCAACCATGCACTGACATTGCACAGTACATGGGAGTTTACATTGCACTGTACACAGTACAGGTCAAAATTTCAGGAGCCTACCACTACATCATCGCTCATAATCATATCGTGGTTTTAGGACCTAACACCCTAGATATGATTAACTTTTTTCTAGATATTGTTAACCTTATCAGTGTACATAAGTCACAGCTTTCCAACTAAACTTTCAGTTGATAGTTAACGCTTGTCCTTTTCTTGGAAAGTCTCTGTTTAGTTTAGTGGGTGATGTTTCATTTTAGTTTTTCAACCTGGGAGAAATTATGCAGCTGCTGGCTGGGCCTAATTCTTAATTTTTTTCTTTCTTGCTTATCGTAAGTACTATTCTGTTCCTTTCAGTTAGCTTGCTGCCTGAGTAAAAAAAAAAAAGTCATGTCGCTCTTATAATATAGTGTTTCTGTTGACTTCTACTAATTCTGAGAAGACAAATATTCATTCTTACCTTCTCTTCTTTTACTCTTTGCTTCATACATACTAATAAGTATGAATCTTCTATCTAATCTACTATTCTTCTATCTTTTATGTAGCTTCTATGAAAGTGCATATCTTGAGGCTTTTTGATAAGCCTTTCCTTTTGTAAGTAGTGAGCTCAGTTCCTAGATTTTCTTCGGGCCTTTGAGTCGGGAATGTCTGGGTCATTTGCAAGCACTTTTTTGGTACTTGTAGGCCTATGAACTGCATACTGCAATGACTCCTGCTGCTTAAAGCAATGCATTTAACCATGTTCCCACCAAATAGGGCTTGCTGCAGCATTGTCTTAATTTTCATAATGCCCCGCCGCGGTGGTCTAGTGGCTAAGGTACTCGGCTGCTGACCTTCAGGTCGCGGTATCGAATCCCGGCTGTGGCGGCTGCATTTTCGATGAAGGGGAAAATGCTGTGGACCCATGTGCTCAGATTCGGTGCGCATTAAAGAACCCCAGGTGGTCGAAATTTCCAGAGCCCTCCACTACGGCGTCTCTCATAATCATATGGTGGTTTTGGGACGTTAAAAGCCACATGTCAATCAATCAATTTTTAGAATAATTGCTTAGGTCAGGTGCCTTAATGCGTTTTTTCCTCCCTGAATGATATGTGATATTCTTCCTATCCCCCTTTATATCTTCCTCTTCCTTCTGTGAAATTACCAAAAAAAATCTTAGTTTATTCCAGCTCATGTCAAACTGAAAGATATTCTACATTTTTGTTAATATTCTGAAAGAAGTTGTAGTTTCGTTATATTCAGTCATTTCACTTCTGCTGTTGAGCACAATGTTGAACAGGTGTTGTGGAAGTAGCTTGTTACATACTTATGCAGTTGTGTATGATACTTTTTTTTCTTTTCCCCAGGGCTAACATGGAAGTGAGAGCTTCTTGGCCATGGAGTCTTCTATTATAGATGGGTCTGCCGAGGCGGATGCTGGCAGCACACAGACCACTGGTTCTTGTGCTATAAACAGCAGCACCAAAGATTATGTTGAGCCGGTGCCTCCTAAGGATGATGATCAGCCTGCGAAGGAACCGCCAGAGGCCGACGGTGACCAAGCTGCCTCACAATGTCCAGCCATATCTGTCGATGAATCATGTCTAGTCAGTGTGAGTGAAAAACCCAGTGCCTCCGAGTGCAAACAGACCAACAGCAGTTCCCCTCAGTCGCATAACTGCCCACTCTTAGATGCACTCCAGAAGGACTCTGTTCAAGTGCCCACCTCACCAGTGGCCGCACTGTCAGAAGTCCCTGCTCTCAACAACGATGGAGTCCAAGCGCCAAGCTCGACACAGTCTTGCAGCAGGACTAATACGAATAACCCTGCGAGGGAAAATGCTGCTTCCATGTGCAAGGTTATTTCTGCACAGAGTGCCGATGTGGGCGGACCTGCTGTTCTGCAGATCTCAAGCAGTCACAGCTCTCCCGAGGTACGACTCCTCACGGACCCCTGTGCCAGCTCCGAGTCTGACAGTTCTTCGAGGCACTGTGAAAGGCTGGACAAGAAAGGGGAGTCGGGGGGACTCTCCTTATGCCGGTACTCGTCAGACTCGCACCTGCCACAGTGTGTTCGAACACCTACAGAGCTTTCATCGTGCAGTCAGGAAAGTGATGACAGCGATGCTTTGCTCTCGGAACTTGAGTCTGAGCTAGAGGGAGTGGAGGGCTCTGACTCGTCTAAACATGCATGGGGGCTCCAAAATGGCTCTCAAGCAGGAACATCAAGGTAGGGTATGGGCATCGGTTACTTGACATTTCTTTTCAGCCCTTGGTATGAAAGTCTTTTGCTGTCATATCAACTGTATACTAGCAAAAGCTAGCTAAGGCTCCTAGTTCACTTTTCTTTGTTGCTGTTGGCCTTCCTTACCTGCATTCAAAGTTTCAAGCTTAGTTGGTGTTTTATTTTGTTGGTTGCTAAATCATTGTTTGTCTGGCCATAGATTTCTCACTGAGAAAATAAGGGAATGCTGTCAGAAATCAGGAGTGCGCATGCTGCCAGTGGTGTAGCCACAATTTTTTCATTTTTTGTGTGTGTGTGTGTGTGTGTCGAGGAGGGGGTGGACATATTTGACAAGGGGAAAGAAGGGCACATTACATAACCATTATGCCTAGATATGCCCCCACATGCTACTGCAGTAGTACTATGGGCAATGCATGTGTTTTGTTTTCATACAGCCATCGACTGAGCTTAGAGATTTATAATCCCAGTTATTTATTATTTTGTATGTTTTATTGGCCTTCGATTTCCTGATCCTTTCAACCAAACAGTTATGTGCATACAGTTTTAAATATCTCATTGCGCCAGCTCTCTTGCTCTTCTGAAGTGAAAGTTTCAACGACATCAGACACAGAAAAGTGTACTCCCACATACACACCCTCATATACATACGCATGCACTATGTTCCTAATGAAATTGCTATCACTGACCAACTCAATGTAAGAACTCGGAAGAGACTTTTCGGGACCTGTACACGTTCCTTGATCAAACTACTACTTCGTCATGCTACCTGACCAGACAAACTTTTGTCAAACTATTGACTGCACCATGTATTTCTCATAGTCGTCTCTCCTTTCAGCATGCAGCATGTTAAATAAACACACCCAATTAGTGATCTGATTACTATATTGCTTATTGATTCAAGAACGGTGCTATTAAAATGTTCATAATTATGGGTAGTGGTATGGCTTTTTCATTTTCTTAATGAGGTGGCAGAGAGGCACAGGAGATGAATCTATGAATGTTGTGATCAACATTTGGAGGAGTATTTATTCCAGGTTCTTACATGTATAGCACAAAATAGAGTCGGTATTTAGGTTTGCTTAGGTATGCGGCATGGGGTAAGGCAAAAACTCTGGCTGTGTGTGCTTTTTTGCATACCATTTGTATATTCATTAGACAGCAATTTGAAAAATTTAATAATTAGTTTGCTCACATTTCTAATAAGGTATTATCAACTAATTCAGATAAGCTTGGAGTACCTACATAATGTAATTAATTATTGCTATTGGCAAACTTTTACGAAAGTGCTGAAGCTGTGTACAAACTTTTTTTTTTTTTTTTTGTGAGCAATCATTACACTCCAACCTCTATTTTTGCAATCTGCAATGTCTGCAGGAATACTACTTGCTCCTACTTGCCTGCATAGGCAGGCAAGTAGGGGCAACAAGTTACAACTCGCAAACTGTGTTATTAGAGCTTGTTTGTATCTCAGAGTTCTGTTGACAGTGGCTACTGTATTCTGCCACCCATATTTAACATAGTAGTTGGATAGAACTTTGTAGTGCATCACATACAGTCTAATGGACATAACCTTTGGTGATGCTCTACCTTAGTCACCACTGTAGGTTATGTTCATGTTATTGAAAGTATGCTTACAATCATGCACACTGGCAGGTTTTAAATGAACATGTTTTCTACTTTTTTGTTCTTACTTGTGTGCTCATGTCTGTGTGTATGCTTTGAACTTGCCCAGCACTTGTGCCACTAAATGCTGCGTCATCATTTCATATCAGATTCTTTTCATAAACATTCATAAAGAATCCTCACTTGCAGGGGACTAGAGGTATCAGGTTGATCTAAGTAAAACCTGTGTTGGATTATCTAGTAAAATTGTAAAGCTCATAAGCTCATTATTAACAGAGCCTTACGAGTCTAGCTAGGTAATAGAAAGTTAGGCACATTGGTTCATGGTCTTGACATTGTAATGTGCAGGGGAAACAAACACAAAACTAAGAATGAGACGTGTAAAGCATCAACTACCAACAGGAGTTTATTATTCAAGACCAGAATTTCATATGCTCCACAATGCCACCAAATTACAAAAAATTACCTCCCAAGGAAATGTTCTTTATTAAAGAGGTTAACATAAAGTGCTAATGCACGAGGACCTTATCTCCAAATATTGTCATCCTCAATGGTCTTTCTTGGGAGCTTGCCATTCATGAAACATAATGGTAGATGTGCTGAACAAGTGTTCGCTACCCCAGGATATGAAATTACTTGTGAGCCACCCACCACATGCACTTTTGACATTGTTGTTCTCTTCTCCAAGTTCACATTAATGCACCTGCCGGTCTGACCGTTATATGTACTTCTTACCACAAGAAAGGTGATCACGTGGTATATTCTGCATTTGGTGTGAACCTTTGGTCAGCACATGCACTATTGCATGCTTCATGCATTACAAGCTCACAAGACAGATCATTGAAGCTGACATTTTGAAATCAGAACTTGAATGGATTAGCACCTCATTTGTCAATATTTTCAATAAAGAGCTTATTTCCTGAGGAACTGATTCACTGCATATGCAAGGAGGCCTTCTGCAAGTATATAACATTGTTGTTTCAAGCAGTAAGCTGCAGCTTGTTCATAATGCTATGATTTTCATCTCATTCTTGCTTTTTTTTTATGTTGTTTCCCCCAGCACTGCATGACCTGAAAACCCTAGATTGCATTTAGAAATTCTTGCAGACTGTTAGGCGTTCACTGTGAATTGATATCGTGCTTGATGCATACTATCTGCAAAAAGACTATATAGATCTCCTGCAGGTTCGTCATGGCATACGAATCTGCAGTTTCTAAGTGTGCATTAGCAGCTTAGAATTTAAAGTTTTTGTGCCACTGTGCTTTAAACCAGAACTACGACATTCATTGTATTACATTCTTGCTAAAAATCAATGTAAAGAATGAGTTCCTCTACACATTCAATATTTCTTTATGTTAAATTCTGTAAAGGTATGAGCCATTTTCATCTATTTAGCTTAATGTTATAGTGCTATTATTAGTAGTATGCTTACATTATTTTTACAAAACCTGAAATTCGTTTTCTGGCAAAACAGTTGTTAGATAACGTGATTACAAAAAGCCATTGGTTAGATATTTCTGCCTTGAAATGTTTACAGATAATTTATGTTGTGCAGGCTATACGATATCATCTACAGATCCCATTGAGACCTGTGCAGTTCTCTAACGGATTGATTCTAAGTATTTCAATGGTACAATTTGTTATCATTGTGATTATGGCATGCGCAGGTCATCGTATCTTACAATACTTTGAAGGAACTGAAATAAAAAGCTCTTTTCAATCTGAAACCTCATGAGCATGGTACAGTGTGTGATGTGGTAGATGCAATTAAATACCTGTTCACAAAAGAATTTTTATGATACCACATTGCTTGAATATTAATTTACAGTCAAGGAAAACAATAAGAATAAAACTCATTTACATGTACATAAAGCAATGTGGGGAGTTCAGAATAATTTGGAATCTATTACTGTGCTTGGCTCATAATAATATCATGATCCGTGCACGTAGAAACCCTAGAATTTATTCATTCTGGAAACTACATTGGTTTGGTTTGGTTATTTAGCATAGCCATTAATGTACCAAGTGGCTGGTATTTATGACAAATTTTCCACATTAGTTTTTTTTTTTTCACGGTGACATGAGGTATGCTATTTGCACATTAACTTTTAAAAACACACTAAATATTGCAAAATCAAGCTTTTGTATGCTTTGCTAAGTCAATGACCTTTCTACTCCACAAAGGTTAGAGCTGCATGTATTATAGAAAATAGTGACTCTATACAGTTTAGTTGTTTAAAGTGTAATGATTTCATTTCCTAATTCCAGCCTTAGAAAAGTTGAGTGGCTCCAAAAGTTGGTTTCCTAGTTCTTACTTTCTTCTTTATTAAAATTTTACAATCCATGATTTCATTTCTTAATTTCAGTCTTTTAAAAGTTGTTGAGTGACTCCAAAACTTGGTTTCCTAGTTCTTATTTATTGCTTTGTTAAAATTATGCAGTCCTCCATGAAATAGAGTGAGGTTGTTCAACGTCTCTATTCTCTTGCTGTTTGCTATCATTGCCTCATTAACTTTGAGCAGCTGTTTTAGGAGATATAAAATTTGGCTGGTTGAAATTCGTGCTTGATAATGCAGTCATTGCTGTATGGGCTGCACGTGGGGAACATCAGTTTATTCTTTTCAGGGCTACCTTCTTTTATGTATAAAATCAGCATTAAGGGTCGGGGGGGACTTGGGTTTCAGATGAAAAATGTCGTAGTGATATATTTTAGGGTTTTATTGTGCTTGCACTCAGCATTTTTTTTTTTGCATCTACTTGCAAGAATCTAGCCCTGAGAAAGGCATTGTTTAGCTAGAAAGTGGCATTTATTATTTGAACTGCATGTGGAACACGTCAAAATAAAATAAAATCTGCACCATTTGGAAGTTTTCAAGCAGAGGCAGTGAGGAAATCACTTCTGAAAGATTCACAAATCTCATGAAAAATAATTTGTATGTGAAGTTAGAGCTTCAGGCTTTAGACCCTTTTGCATGGTTGGATGGCAAAATGATTTTTCTCGTATTTAGAAATTGCTCTTTTTTGGTACCAAAAACACCATGCTTGTGGTAAGAAGAGGCTTGGTAAGTGGGAAAACTCACGAAAAGAAAATGCGGGTGGTGATACCACCTTGAAGTTTCTGCACCATGCGCCGTGATATCATATTTTGACACTGCCTACTAGGGTCTGTGTGGTTCCTAATTGGTAAAAACAAGGTGAAGTGTCTTCTGAGAGGCCATAGACTTAACCTACCAAGTTTGCATGAATTCTGTGAAGCCAATGACACCTAATTACAATATAGTAGTATACACTTTGTAATCCGTGATGTCACGCATGGAGATTTCAGCGCCAAATTCAAAAAGCATACTTTGAACTTCATTGCCTCCTTTATAACTAAACCTACGATAGTCAACTTAACAACGTTGTAATTGTCGGAGTACAATTTATCTACCCAAACTGATTCATTGTTTTTCTTTAGTGTCGCCCAACAATTATAAAGGGCACAGGGCTTTACAGAGACCTTTACAAAGAGCTTTGCTTGACATTGAGGCACAAAGATAGGGTGCCAACCAAGCTGACATATAATCCAAAAGGCTGCACTGAACAGTACTTTGTGGTGGCAGCACCTTGAATTGTGCAGCATCATTCTGATGGCACATTGGCACACACCATTGTTCCTTTGCATGCACTTCCCGACCAGCTCTTGTCACAACTCTTGCCTACTGCAGCAAGGCGCTTGTTCTGCAGAGTGTTCATTTGTCTGGCTTGATTTGCATGTAGTCTAGATTGTTCTTAGTCTGTTCATAGCTGCATAACAATCAGATCTGCATCCCTATTTCATTCTGGAAGTTTTTCATTCGCTGTTGCTTTGGGCTCACATTTTGCAGTGAGATAAATAAAACATGTTGTTGGGCTAGTTGGTACGGTTTAAAAGATAATGACGCAACTCAGGAGGAAAGAAGAAGAGGTTGGGCAAAGAGCTTGACTTACAACTAGCAGCAAGGTGTGCAGTTACATTTGTGCAAAACAATCAGGTACAACCACATATGTACGTAATCATGCTAATGAGGCAGCAATAGGGTCTAGTTGGTATGTCTTCATGGTTGTGATGCACTGCAGGGTAAGGGTAAAAAGAAAGGGACAACATAGAGTGATGCGAATTTGTACCACTTACGTTTCAATATGCCAACGTTGCCACCGTAAAAACTGCCAGGCCTGCACGAAACGCACAGCACTGTCACAGCGAAAGCTGGAAGAGCGGCCTTTCAGAGCCCTTTTTTAACACTCTTTGGGTACCTCCTGCAAGCACACTTGCAGGGTACCCATATGCCATTAATCATTATGTTGTAGGCAGGCATTCACTATGCCATCCTTCATCATTCTTCGGAAAAGCGTGGAAGAACTTGCAAGGAACTTTGAGCATTTTTTTTGTGCTGTGTGTGATGATGCTGAAGAATTATGCCAGAACCTTTTGTAATCCCCATTATACCCCACAGTGGGCATGCGCCACAGTTAATAGGTGAACAAGATTAAGCTTCTGTAAAGGGTTGGAGCATTCGACCACCCGCTCGTTGAGCTATTCGCATTATGTGACGCCTGGTTGTTCCTTGGTCATTCCAAAGTGCTTTATTACTCGTATTAACAAGATTCCTTTCCCGAAATCAAGCCTGCCTAAGGCGAGTCTGCAAAGGTGTTCCAAGCACCGGAGTGTTGCAGTGGTAGTATACTGGGCTGGCACGTAAGGGACCCGGGTTCAAATTCCATTGTTTCCTTAGTGTTCTTTATTTACTGAGTTTTCTTTTTCTTATTTCATGCGATGGTCGTTACTGGCGGTGGCGGCAAACAACTACGATACGTATGCGGCCCGTGTTATGATCTCATAACAGCTTTTGTTGTAAAAAGTGCAGTTTGAAAAGTTTGCTGGCCTTTTCAGCCCCGAGCTTCAGTATTTCTATTCTTCCTGGGGAGCTATTCTAGCTGTGTCTAATTCATGGACATGTCGAATTCAGCCTCCACTGATTGGCTGAAGCTGGCGAGCAGTGCACCACCCATTTACAGTCTTTCTTCCGCAACGTCATTTTGATGCCACGCACCTTTCACAACTCTCGACACAAATGGGAAAGACGGAACGCATTTCGCAACAACAAATCCTACCCCCAAAGGTCCGCTTTTGGACGCACATCTCCGAGGCCATGTATGGACTCTAATCACGTTAGCCCTTGAATTAGGAATTAGGTTTAATGCGACTGCCCACCTGATGTTCTTGAAATGTCGGTACGCATTCTCTGCGTTGCTCTTCAATCATCTTAACAGATTCATATGCACGTTCAGGCTTGTCAAGTTTGTCAAGTTTTGTTGCTATAGATTTCATTCATTTAGCTTCTTTTTGCGCTGGGAATGTGCTGGTGGGTATGGTGCGTTGATGAGGTTAAGTGCGCCATGACGTCACAACTCACCGTTTTTTGCCTAACTGAACGCGCTCCGGCAAATCGGACACCACGAGAATAGCTCCCCTGGTGGCATCTCACTAATGCTCTTTATTCTGTCTCCTACCTTTCCTTAAAGCACGTATTGTTTTCATGGGGAAAAAAAATATTTGCTCGGCTGCTTAATCTGACATGTAGACGTGTTAGCATGCAAATTGTTTCTCTTGTCCATTAGTTTAGCTTGTTTTCTACTGTGAGTAATTTTTCACTGACTCACTGTTTTTTCAGTTGGTTCACACACTAACTGCTTGTGAAGCTTGTTTGCTTATGAATGTACAGCCGCGGCCACGTCTGTGTAGAGCGCTCGAGCAGCCGGTTTTTGCTCTGCGGGCGGAAACCTTGAGGCAGTTTCAGGCTTGAAGTGGTGTACCAGGAGCATGCACGGCCTAGTTGTCAGGCTCACCACGTCAAAGCCTGATACTGCCCCAAGGTTTCGCCCCGCAGAGCAAAAACCGGCAGTTCGCGTGCTCTACACAGACGTGGCTGCAGCTGTACACGAATGTTCGGAATTCCTTATGCGCAAGAATTTAAATGAGCACTATGTCACTAGTGGTAAAATGTTATCGATCAGTTACATAATTACATGATAATTTGGTTGACTACTTCTCTCTATAATTCCACTGGACATTGAGAATACTTCAAATAGAAAACAATAAATTAATTGTGCTCACATATGTCTGAAGAATGCATACTTTTAATGAAGCCACATGAAACTAAGTAATTGAGAGAAAGCAAGTTGTTATATAATACATAACAGCATTGGATTATTCCCCCCCCCCCCCCACTCTTTTTTTGTAAGCTTTTACATTTTTTTTGTATTTAGATACATTGTGTTCTGGCAGTATTGAGAAAAATAGCCGTGGCTGAACGTTGTTAAGCCAAGTTCTTGAAAAATAGCTCAGTTTTGCTTGCTTTAGGGAAGGATGAGATTATTTGTTTGCAGGGATTTAGCTGTATTTCATGTTTGGTGTAGGCAAGGGCAAGACTACATGCTCCTGAACTGCAGGTTGCTGTTGACAATCTTCCAGCATTGAACTGCAGCATGTCTCATGTGCAGCTGCACATTGTTCCTGCTTGCGGATGCACATGCGAGTGCACTTTTGGTCAGTTGACTAGTGTTTCACTGAAGCTCTTTGGCCAGTATTGCAACGACACACGATGCACATGGAACGAAGCACGTGACCAGCACACTAGTAAGCTGGGGAAACGTTTGCGTAAACTTATTAGCGAGAACTTTATGCCATCTCGCAGGCACTGTATAAACAATTTTCTGTGGCGCTAACACAGCTCAGAGACTTTCATGTACTATACAAGCTCCTAAGAATAATGGTCTGTAAACATTGGATATACTCATACCTAACAGATAATGCACATTTTGTATTCCTGTTCACCTTGACCCAATAGGTTCACTCTCATTCAAACTTGCATATAGTAAGTAATGTGTATTTGTGGGCTTGTTAATACATGAATGGCAAAGGAACAGTGCTGTTCAAAATGAAAGAACACGGTGCTTTGTTATGTGTTTGCGTTTGTTTGTGTGTGTGCGTGTGTGTGACAAGGCACACGTACGTGTTTTAATCTTGTTCATTTCTCAGTAACATAACCCCTTCAGACATGAATTGTGGTGGACTGTATTTGAATGTTTCAGAGTTATGCAGATTTATTGAATTCTACTAGATATTTCACTGCAAGAAAAAGGGATGTTAATATGTTGATTTGTGCATTTTTAAGTCATTACAATGAGAGCATGATTAAACATCTATCAATTCTAAAGTCAACTTTGCTCAGTTTCTGTATTGAAATATTTGGATATCTGGCTAGTAATACAAATATTCAAATATCAGGCTCGTAATACTTCAGCAAAGTTTTATGGGCTATACAATTTTGAGCAAAAATAATGAGTTTAACTTAGCTCTCAGAATGCAATCCTACAAATGACTCGTCGAACATGGCAGTGTCCTCGATGTAATCGTCTACAGTAGTATGCAGCACAGTGAGGTTTATTAAACACTAGTTGTACACTCTAGAAGTGCTTACAGATGTGCACGTCATGTTTCAAGCCAGTTGAAGAAACTCGCGGTGTAGGGTGCACCTCTAAAGTAGACATGTATATTTGTACACACCACCACTGAATGAGACTTATTCATTTACATATGCACCTGAGAGATGAATCCGATTGAGTATGATTTCAATCATGAGAATAAGTATAGAATCTACCTCCCAGGTAGCGCTGTTTGGTGCCTTATACTGAGTGTAGTAAGAAGTGGCGATTCTTTCAGTGGACCAATGTCTTCATCGGGTCCTCATGTGAGTGTGTTAGAGTGGTTGATGCTTTCAACCTTCAGAGTTGCTGTGGATACTTCATGCGCAGGTGCAAAAGGTGTGCCCTCAACTATGACCTTATGGAAAAGTTGGAACAGACCAACTTCGAGCTTCAGCAGCAGCTCAGATATGTCAGTGAGAAGACATCGGCCCGCGAAGCTGAAAGCATGCGTATGCTTGCTGAAGCACGGGCTGAACTGCTGTCCAAAAATGACAAGGTAAGGTTCATCACATGCCCCGGCGTTGCATGGGACGTGGCATTTGCTTCATTAATGATATGACATGTAAATAAGTGGCACTACTTGTTGGTTGCATTGGAGGCTTACCATTTTGTATTTTAGGCCTTTGTTTGTAGAGTGTTTGCATTCCATTGCACTTATGAAATGATGTGAATGATTTGTTGCAGTTGCACTCTGGCTCAAACACAAAATTTTCAATATTGTATTCAGAGATGATGATGTCAGTCGGGACTCGGGCTATGACACTGAGTTTTTTGAAGGGCCTTTTAATGACAAAGTTGACCCTGAGGGCCGCTTTCCGTGCCCCTTAATATGTCAAGCTTCTTTATTTAAAAAAATTGAATAATTTACTTTCACTAAATGTTTATAGCTAGAAAGCCTCTCCTCATTTTGTAAATTAAACTTATTTCTTTAGCATATAGTATAACTATAGAGCATCATGTAACATACGTAGTACCTGTAGTTTACATAGCACCCTTACACGGCAAAAATGCCAATTATGGAGGGCCCTCAGAACATTTAGTACAGTCTAACTTATAATAATACTCGAGTGCCATTAATTCATTGTTTATACTGGACAATTAATATTGAATGGTTGCATAAAAACAAAAGGCGAAATACAGGGAAGGCAGGTTGCTGTTAGAAAACTTTAGTACTAGGTAGGATGTGCCAATACACATAAGTAATAAAGATGACGCAGATGACTATTTTTCAGGCATGTCTGAAAATACAGATGACTTCACAGCATTGTTATAAGCCCCACAATGTGAACGTCTCATTTTTCAGTCGTTTTCCTCAAGTTGCATGTCAATAAATACTGAAGCCACCACCAATGCCATGTTGATAATTTTACCGGCCCAAATTAGCACTGTCCTGATTCAATTAATTTGTGGCAGTAGCGGATTTCAAAAGTCAACATTTTTCCAATGCCACAAACAGATACATTGCTCAAACGTGTATAGTTGTAGATGGGTTGGACTGTATTTGGTAGTGAATGGGCTAAACTTTTTTATGGTTTATATTTAATGAGGATTATTAATAATGGCAATATGAGTGTGCAAATATTTAACTTTTATGCAGGAAGTCCAATACTCTCTTCAGTTTTTGATAATAGTTGCTATTTGTAAATGTCTGCTGTTTTAAATATTTGTTATGCCTTGTGTCAGTAAATGTACAGGAGCGAAAATGAAACCGGAACATAACTACAAGAACATGAGTGTTACACTGCCCATAACCTTGAATTGTTCCACACCGCAACTGTGCCACACGTACATTTGGAGCCATACATTTTTTTACTATATCATCGAGCATTTGCTTAATCGCTACTTTCACATGCTATTGGTCATTTTGTTCTGTGTTGTTGTCTCTGCATTTTCTACTCTCTGCTCCCATGACAGCCCTCTCTGGCTGAAGTATTTTGAAATGCATGAATTTTAATAGATGCATGAAATAGATGAATGACAGATATCGTCTGTTGGCACGGATATGTTGACCATATAATAATCTGTTGTAATTGCACATTTGGTTAATTTGGTTAATTGCTAGGTCTTCTTAAGGTAAGCAACTCTAAAAAACACTAGTTTGCTATAAGTTCTAGTATGTCTCAGATATGTAAGACATGGCTCATTCATTTTCAACCCTTTCTCTAGAAAGTACACATGAGCACACAGAGTATATTATACTTTGTGAAATTATTCTTGCAATGTCAACTTTAAAACTCTCGACTTACCTGGTATTTTGTCACCTTACAATTGTTCTTATCTTAGCCTCTTCATTGAAGTCATTCACTCCACCCTCTGTTTTTACAGAAATTCCTTTGATTTAATAAAACTTGAACTTTGGCGAGATGGTGCATAGTTGACGGGAATTTTGAGGCAAAAAGCAGATGAAAGTAGCGCCCCTCCTGTCCTCTCACCTTGTGAATGTGTGTTTTTTGCGCACGAAGTTCCCGTCAACCTTTTGATTTCTCCTGCATATATCTTTTCACGCACTGACCACAAGGAGGAGGTTTGGCCACCCTGCCGGCATTTTAAATTGATTTGTCCCATTATACAACAAGTGTAAATTGAAATTGCCTTTCTCCCTCTATTGTTCTGATCACTAACAGAAACCTTCAAGACTGCCGAACATTAACGTTTTGCTAATGTTCCTACTATACTTCTTTTGTCTTCATTTATTTTTAACCTTATTTCTTTATTGCCTTTGTTGTGTGAAATAACTATCTCCTCTTTTATTTGGCTTGACACTAAGGATCTCCTTGTTCCTGGGCAAAATTTAATTAAAGGCCTAAACGTTGAAGTTATTCATGCCAGCAGTGAGTATTCATGGTAGCACTTGTACTCTTCTGCCATGGTTTCTTCTTGAACCCACCTAATTTTCACACTAAGTCTGGTTGCGACTATGCTAGACTAACTACGGTAACATACTGTCCTTCTGAAGCAGTGAGAATTTGCATAACATGCAGGCTGCAAGTTATGTGATTCTCGCCCGTGCTGAGGTCTTGAAAAACTGCAAGTATCAAATCTGCCTCACAGAAATAGTCCCATAGTGTCTCTCCAAACTTATGTGATTGCTTCAAAGCGCTCTGAAATTTTTATAATTCTACAGGATGTCCCTGAACTGTAATTCATGAGTAACTCTTGCTGAAATATTATAATCAAGTTAAGAGCTAAGGCTAAGGGACTTTCGCTTTGGAACAACTCTGTTTATATATAGCGTCAGCACTTGTTGAAAGTCTTTCGCTAGCCTAGCAACCTGTGCTCTTAGTGACAGCAATACTAGTGAACGTTGCACCATGGCTTGGTTTGGTGTTGTATTTGACAGGCTGGTATGTTTCTCAATTGCAGTTGGCCAAGCATCTGGAGATGGTGACAAAGGAAAAAGACACTATGGTAGTAAAGTATGCAACCAGTGAAAAGGAAGTTATTCTGGCACGAAGGGCCTTGGAGGACATGGAGAAGAAGTACCGGGAAGCAGTCAAAGATCGAGACCAGCATTTCAGCCGAGTGCGCTCCCTCAACAATGAGCGTGCCCGTCTTTGTTCCAGCCTTGACACCAAGGTTGGCATCTCTCATGCTTTGTCATCATTTCAGGGCTTGTTAACTTACCCTTGAATGGTGTCATAGCAGTAACACTGTTTCCACATCATCAGGGGCTCCTTCAAGTGCAGCCTTAGTATGCTGACCCATGAGCAGCATCTTTTTCATAAGCATATGTCATAACACCGTGGAATGTTAGACGCACCACATCATCATCTTTGTAAGCCTTGCATAGTTAGCAGCCTGTCCGCATCGCATTGCCTGCACGGCTGTGCAGGAGAGGGCTATCTTACAAACCACTATTTTGCAGCTTTTGTGTAGTTTATGCCAATCCTATGCATTTTGTAAAAGGCGAACTTTCACCTTTCATGGAGCTGTAAATTTCTTCGTAGTTACGCACTTGTTTAGGTAAAGGCAATACATAAAGCACATGCAAGGGTGACACACAAAGAAAAAATGGCTTAAGTATATATGGGTGGGTTGTCACATTACAATTTTTGTTGTCTATTAAAATGTCCTATACACACTATCTTAATAGTATTCTGTATTCTATAGTTAATGTAGAGCAATATGAGCCATTAAGGGCTGAAAGGGCTGGTAACTACGAATATTTAGCGGCAGAAAAAGTTTCTCCAAAACTAACTATATGTTTCACATTCTTATGGCATAAAACTAACACTGCGCAACTTACTATAAAAGTAATCACATATTTGTAAGCAGCATGAAAGCCTATATATGGAGCAAAAATTTTATTGCTCTAGGCTACAGATTCACGCAGGTTTTTTTTTTTTTTTCGAATTAGATTTATTCTTGATGTCTTTCTTGCCATTAACTTGAAGATCCAGCAAATAAACATGGAAAGAGATTGTTAAGTGCATGAAACTCATTAACAACGTAGGGCTTTAAAGAAAACAGTCAACATATTCAATCAGAAAGTCAACAAAATTTGCCTATTCATGCCTTGTACACACTTGATGAGTGAAATTGTTTTTGTTGTGTTAAAATATTGTAACTAGTTCAGGCCTAGGCACAAGTCATACCCCTTTCTTTTTTCAATTGTTGGGGACCTGTCGGTTGTTCATAACTCCTTAATGTACTATGGGTGTCTTTCAGGGGGGGGGGGGGGGGGTACAGGTGGGTACATAGTCCCAGTGCATATAAGACATGCAAGAGTAAATAAACAGTGATCACACTCACTACTGCCATCATCAAGTTCAGCAACCAAATGTCGTTTTTCTGTTCTCGCTTATTTTAGGTTATGAGGTATTTTATCATTAGAGTTCTTTCATATTTTCATAGATTCTGAGTGTTATATGAAATGAAAATCTTTAGTGCTATAAAATTGCTGCTCCCTCACATTCAATTTTCTTTTAGTCATACCCTGCATCATACAGCATACAGCATAGTGTATTTAATCGCTTAATGAACGCACTTTTTTTTTTCTAAAAAAATCTGAGCAAAGTTGGGGGGTGCGTTTATCATGCAGGGAAAATTTCATCAACAATTTTTTGGTATAAGCAAAGAAATGTGGTAATGGCGAAAAAAAAAGTTAGGTCGCTCAGCTTCTTTGTAGCACTTCACTTATCTGCAGTGGTTGAAGGCGCTATCTCCTGCAAGCTGTTCTCGTGCCGCCCGTGCGCTCCATAAAAGCGTACCGCAGCTATCTTTTCTCGCAATTGTTTAACCGCAACAGTGGTATTTGCTGTGATCTCGAGGGGCGCCCAGAAGCGTGCGCTATGATGCCACGACGCACTTTACCAACCCCGTGGCAACCTTGCATGACGACTGTGACAATGCCATTAACATTGTAGCAAGCAACCAAGATTACAACAAGCTGCCACCGAAGCATCAAAACAAACCATTCATAATAAGATTAACGACAAAAAACGGCAGACGCCTCACTTGCAACCGAAGCAAGAATCTGGGACCACGTTGTGGAAATAGTCACGATTTTTTCTGTGGCGACAAAACATTTCTTTCTGGTTTTCCAGAAAGCTGAGACGCAATGGCGACGAATGGCCCTTCACAACAGCCATAGCGACAGCAAATTCTGTTGTTGTCGCTCGAAAATTGCCTGCATGTGTTTGGGCCTTAAAGCTTCGTATTTGCAGGAAGCGACCGTCGGTTGGCATGGGCAGTTTCGTGACCTTCGCTTGCTGTGTGCTTGTCAGCTGCGATGTCTCTACACTCGCACTGTTCGTGAACCCCGCTGTGGCACATATGTACTTAAAGAAGATTGGGTACGTGCCGCGCACAGATAAAAAAAAAAAAACGAAACGGCGGTGCGGCAGCGGGCGAAGGAGGGGGGGGGGGGGGGGGGAGGCCGTGAGCCAGGTTGCCGAAGGGGGTCGGCATAATAATAAAAAACGAAAGAGATCCAACGGGCAAGGAGGCGCCAGTTGTCAGTAGGACTGCAGTGGACGATTGTGGGGGGTGCATTTATTACGCGAGAAAAAGAAAAATTCTAATTTTGACGACAAAAGTTAGGGGCACATTTGTTATGCGAGTAATATGGGAGTGCGCTCATTACGCGAGTAAATATGGTATTTGCACATTGATGGGATATTTATTAAAAGGTGCAAATAAAAAATGGTTTCAGTATTAGCGAGGCTAAATAGTGCTGCAAGGGCAATCTTGGAAAGGCATTGCTAAAATGTAGTCGGGTCCACTGTTAGGGAACACTTGCGTCCACAGACTGTATTTCCCTCTCTTACAAAAACATACTGGTCTAGATTTACACAAGACTTCTAATAATTGGCCGTTCTGGCTTCTTTTAACAGACTAGTGCTCTGCATAAACATTGTTTTCTTATCCCCTTGCTACTACAGAGCTGGCATTGTGAACGGCGCTCAATAATAGGGTTCCCTTTAACAGTGCACGGTACTTTATATGTCTTCATTAATTGGTGGCCACGTACTTGTTGACTTTGAGTGGCAGCTATTCAATGTACCATAACATTTTTTAAAATAATTTCTAGATGGAAGAAAGGTGATAGAACAGAGAGAGAAAGGTCTTTGTTTACACCCGTCGTAGAGCATTGGTGATCGAGGTGAGATGCAGCTGTCCCTCTTACTGTCTGAATCGTGTTCTTTCAGTTAGCAGACATGGCAAAGCTTCAGAAAGAGCAGGAGAGGCTCAAGGAGGAATTATCTGCTCGAGACATCAAGATCAAGTGGGCTCAAAACAAGCTCAAGACAGAGGTGGATGCCCACAAGGTATATGCTGCTTGGTACATTATCATTGTACAAAGAATGTACCGCGTACCTTTTATTGTTTTGAAAGGAGCTCATTACTTAACAGTTTATAATGCATGACCGTTTTGATGCAGCAAAAACTGCTCTTTTTTCCGAACCCCGAGTTAAAGGGTACTCTACTATACAGCAGAGGAGCATGCCAACATTTGTAGATGCAGTGTGATTTCCTGGATTTACATGCCAAAACACGTTGGTGGGCTAATTGGTTTGCATCCATGAAGAGTGAGTGGGTAAGTGTGAAACAAAAGAACGTAGAATGAAACTGACAAGGGCACTGCGCTGTGTCTTTCTACATCCTTGAGTGTTACACACTTTCCATTGACGTGCCATTTGTGCACTAATGTTGCCATTGTTGGTTATGTGAAATTATGTGTGACAGCTACTCTGTTCAAGAGTGTGTTGAAGCAAAGTGAGTGGTGTGAGGAAGGGGCAGTTTCGTGTAGCTCTTTGGACAAGACTGGGGATTTGGCTGCTGTTACTTTTCTTCATTGTAGACATGGTATGTCTGGGCCTTCTGCCCTACTTTATTGGAATTTTACTTTATTTTTTAATGGAAGACTGTGGTGGTCGTTGACCCACTGTATATTTCTTCCAGTATTTTCAAATACAGCTCATCTACACCCTTATTTTGTAATGCCTGCATTTCTTATAAAATTAGGTTATATTAGTTTTCTTCCAAGATTCTGATATGCTCATGGTCATGAAACATTTCGTATACAGTCAGGCCAGCTTTTCTAGAACAATTTCTGACAAATTGCAAAGTGTGGCTATTAAATTTGATAAGTGAAGCAGAATAGTAGGTCTGAAATTGATATGCAGAAAACTAAAATAATATCTAAGAGCCTCGAAAGAGAGCAACACTTTGCAATAGTTAGCAAGGCACTGTAAGTGGTAAAGAAATACTACGTCTTCATAGGGCAGGTCATGACCATAGATGATCATTAAACTGAGCTTATTACAGGACTAAGAAAGATGGAGTGCATTTGACAGTCATTCTCTGATTGTGAATGACAGTTTATCAGTGCCCATAAAGGGAAAAGTATATTACAGCTTACAAAAAGGGTTCAGTATACTTGAATACAATGCAGTGAGCCATGGAAAGAAAAGAAAAATTATATGTGGAACTTTAAAGTTAAGTAGGTAGCACAGTGTTCAGGGAACGTATGCATGTTGAGGACATTTTAGGTGAAATTAAGAGGAAATAGAAATGGGCAGAACATGAAGCGAGAATGCAAGATAGACGCTGATCACCAAGAGAAATGGACTTCGTTTCAAGAGAAGGAAAGAAAGCGACGGTAATCGTAAAGTCAGGTGGCTAGATGGACTCGAGAAGTTTGCGGGGATAATGTGCCCACAGCAAACACATGACCAGGTTTGTTGGAGAAACATGGGAGAGGCCTTTGCCCTTGAACGAGCATAGCCATGTTGATAATGATGACTTCAAGCAAGCATCTAGCTTTATGTCCAGGCGTAACGACAATTGTTACAGTTACGTTTCGCAGGTTAACAAATAAATTGAGCCTATTAAACACTCCTGCCATATTTCATCGAGTGAGTGCCAATTTGTCAATAATTAACAATTTTTCAAGTGCATTTTGCACTTCAATAATCATTACTCATATAAAATGACAAAATTGTCACTGCTTAGTGCTAACCGAGTTGTACTTGTGAGGGACCACATTACCGTGCCAATCGGAACTGTAACTACGTGCAATATAAAGTAACTGTACTGCCTGAACTGCCAACATTGACATGTATGCAAACAAGTCAGCTTGCATGAAAACATCTTCAGGCCTGTTGCCATACATGAATGATGAACAGCATCATGCCTCTTACTTGGTTTACCTTGAATGTAATTAATTAAATATGGCTGTTACTGCCCGCTCACAAAAGCTGTTTCCAAGGCTCACTTTTTTCTGCACAAAAAAAAGTATAGTGAACTTTTGTTAAGACGAACTCAGTTAAGTTGAATTTTCGCTTAAGACGAACAACTCTGGAATTTTAGTTTCCCATAGACTCAATGCAAAAAAAAATATCTGCTTAAGACAAACCGTGTAACAGGTCTTTTCTGTCAAGGCAAACTCCCGCTGCTATTGACAACGACGGGGATTCTGCACAACGAACATTACAATCTTGATGGGGACATTCAGGCGAACAAGAGAAAACAAAATGGGAAAAAAAAGCTTTCCAAGTGCAATGACTCAAAGCAAATCGAAAACGAGGTTAAGTGGAAAAGAAAGGTCAATGCATAAAGCTGGTATCCTCCGCACTCCTAGCCTGTTGGTGGAGAAAGGGCCGGCTTTATCAGCAAAGGAAACAAGTAAAAGCGTTCGTCCTTACATATTCTTTTCGTGTTCTTCAGTTCCCCAACAGGAGTACAGTAGAGAACGGAAGAACACAAGAGCTTGGCTAGAGGGGAACATGCAAGGGAAAGGGAGTGAAAAAAAAAGCCAAATGAAAGTGAAAATGGGGACAAATATTGTTTGTGCATTATAATCACATGAAACCGAATCGACATAAGCGGCACTAGCACTCCCATCAGGGGAGTCGGATGCATTGTCATCACTGTCATACAATGGCACCTAAGCACATGTTATGGTCAATTTGTGTTGTTTTGCACAGGGTCTGTGCGCATTGTATCTGTTCCCAGTCAAATGCAGCAAACTGGGCTGAAAATAAGAAAATATCCAAACCTCACAGAAAAGCTTGTAGACTTTTATAAGCTACTTGATGTATATTGGCTTAGTCAAGGTGATGGTATACAATGGAGACATATCCAAAAGTGATAGCAAAGCCAGTAAAACAGCCTCTTAGAAGGTGAACAGCCAGAATAATAATTTTTGTATTCTTCAAGAAAAATTGTGCTTGTCTCTCTTTTTATTTTTTTTTAATCATGAAAATAGGGCCGTGCTACAGTTATATTGTTATAATGTAGTAGTGTTTTATACATGAGCATATTTAGGTATTATGAACTCACAAAATCAAGCACTCATCAGATTAGTGTAAATAATCTGCTTGAAAGCATATATTTTATCAAGCTGAGCCAAATAAATGCTTTTTATTGTACCTTTCCTCCCCATTGCAAGTACACTTCATTCAGTGTTTTTCAAGCAACATATTTGGGTGCACTCGGCATGTTAGCATTTGGTTTTGGGGGGCATTTCTGATGATATGAACTCCTGATAAGATTAAGAAATGATCATGGTCCCTTCGAGTTTGTGTTAAAGGGAGCTTACTGTAATAATAAAATCTCCCATCACTAGTGCCAATAATGTGCCAACTCAATATATGACACTGTGGTACATTCTGCTTATTACTTCCAAGTAGTTTCATTTTCTTCAATATTGTTCGAGGCTGTATGCAACGTGTGAAGGCACTGTTAAAATTAAGAAGCAGTGCAGAACTACACCAAATTTAGAGCAACTATGTAAGTGCAATTAAATGGTGAAATTCTAGAGGATTAAAGACAACCTGAGTTAGAAGTTTAATGAGATGGTAGTTTATTTAATTTAAGTGTGCATCAATTTCAAATGAAAAATAACGGCAGAAACTGGTATCTTTGACTGTCTAGACTTTTCTCCAGCATTTTATCGTGCAGATAGTAAAGGAGAGTAATTCAGTGTTAGCTCCACACCAAGCATCACAGCTGCATTTTGTAGCCAACGTGTTGCGAATGCTTTTGCTGGCTTTCCTCTGCCTTTACACACAGGAGACACAGGCAAAGCTGGAACAAGCGCAGCTGCGGCTACGGGACCTGCGTGAGGAGGCGGAGCAAGTGCGACGAGACTGTCAGGAAATGATCAGGCGCTACCAGGAGTCCGAAGAGATTAAGTCCGTTTCCTTGGATCACCAGCTGAAGGAAAAGCTGTCCGAGCTTGAGGAGCAAAAGATGGAAAAAGAGAGCCAAGAAGAGGCAAGTTTTACAAGGAGTTCAGCTTCCTCTTGCAACACCCAAGTATTTAGGAAAGCCATCACTATATGGTTGTCTGTGTGTCTGTTTTTTTTTATATTTTTTGATATCTCGCCTCTCTCTCCCATCTTCCCATGGGTGGTGATGTAAGCACAGGCGAAGAGCAGGTGGGAGGTGGTGGCGCCCACTCTTGTACAGTGCAGGAGTCAACCACATGAGTTCAAAGTGTTCTTAGCAATTAGTTCGTTATTACAATTTCTTCTTGGTTATTGCTGTTAATTATGTTATTTTAAACCTTGTTCATGTATTTTAACGCAATCTTGAGCATTGCTAGTCATTGCTAGGCCTGTATTGAGCACTTGATTGTGAGCGTGACCATGCCACTTGATATCAGTGGTAGATGACGTCGGGCTTTTGAAATGTATCTAAACGAAAGTGTCATCATAGTTGATGCATAAATACACAGAACAGTTTTGCATTTTACAGAGTGCATGGAAGGCTTGTATTTTGCTTCAGGTTTTTTCTAATGTCATTAAAAATGGAACATCAGCAGCAGCTTGCTGCATTAAGTTCAGTCACAAGAAGTGCTTTATTTCATTTGTACACATTACCATAGGTAATGAACTATAATTGTAGTTGAGTAATTCAGGTCATAACTGCAGCTGCATTGGTCTCTAGTGAGCATATCCATACAAATTGGGTCTAGGCTTTAATTAGGGCTACTTGGGTGTCATCATAATACCCACTGGACTGTTTTGAACACTTGAGAATCTTCCTTTAAAGTGCCTTTTCTCCCTTTGTGGGAACATGTGGCTTTGTTACCTTTCTTTTTCTCTTTTTTTCCATCAAGCTGTAAGCACCAAGGCAGGGGTGAAGTTTTAGTTAAAGTTAAACTAAAGATAAATAATAAATTGCATGAGCAAGAACACCTTTGGCACAAATAGAAAAAAAAAGAGAAGGCATGTGCAACACATTGTGTTTGTGTAAGCCGTGAAGTAAAATAGACAACTCGCTGTGCTGTGCGTAAACCGGAGAACGCCGAAAAGCTGGGTTCACACTAAGCCTAGTGAAGACCTCACTAGACACCAGCCACCGTGGCTGGTTAATGTCTCATGGAGCTACATTAAATGTTGGACTAATATACATAAAGACTGGCAAAGAATTTCAATAAACGAAAAATGCTCAGAAATGAGACATTCAAGAGGTAAACCACGGCAAAAAAAAAGAGAAAACTTGCTTTTTTCTTTGTTAATCTATCTGGTGCTTTCATAATGTTCATATGCATTATACATCCCACAGTGTCAACATTTATGGAAAAATTGCATGCAACTGCACGAGAAGTTGTTATAGAGAAGATGTTACATCTAGCTGCAGGGCCTGAATGGCTGTGGTTAGCTTCAGCAGCGCACCTTGCGCATTAATTTGCTTTCTTGTGTTACCTGATATGCCACTATCATGACCTGTGTCATGCAAACAGTCGCCTTTCTTCTTGAGACCAGCTACAGCAAAATCAATTTTTCAGCTTGTCGTGCGAGAAATTACTGCAAATTTGCTGGAGGCACGTGCTCTCAGTGCCTTTGCCTTGTTATCTGCTTCATGTGACACTGCTCCTTCCATTGCCATTGATATCGCTCGTTGCCTGGGCACTGTGGTGTTAGGGCTGTATATGCTCCATTTGGGTGTTTCATAATTCCTTTCACCAGCACATCCCCGTTTATAATCACTGTGGCGCTAAAAGCCCCTAAAAGACCCTGCTCTTTCGAACTCGATGTTGCTAGGGTCCGAATTATTGAAAATTCTCGCGTGGGCCGTCGGCCATACCTTGCTTAATGCGCCAGTTCTAAAATTTCTCGTGTGCTTTCTCTTTTAATCGCCTCTCTTATATAAAAGCATGTTTTCAGGTCGGAGCACCCGCAATTCGGTTTAATGCATCACCATAGCGCCATCGCTGGTGGCTCTGGTGTTGGAAGGCCTGTAAAACGGCTATGCCTTGTTACACGCCTGCCTCTCGCTTTTCAGAGTCAATAGCCGACGGTTAAAAAAGAAATGAATGCGGCACGGCCACGGCCGCCTTGCTATCAAGACGATGCATATTCTTATATGGCTACTCTAGAAAGCGCAGCTTTTTTCGCACAGTCTGTTCACGTTGAGAGTACAAAGTAGAAGGTAATACCAGCCGTAAATAGCGCATGCGCCAGCGATCACACCCTTGAAGTCAAAGTAGTTAATAACAACGCCCCCCCCCCCCTCGCGTTCCTAGCTCGATTCTTCTTATCCCTTGGACACGGGCGGCTCGTTCCTCTCTACTTGAATAACAATCGATGGGGGGCCTGTCACACGGGTTGATGTTATCGCATCTGCCATCAATGCAAAGGAGATAGGTTGACTCTTCTTATCTCTGCTTTAGCCGCATTTGTCGCCCCCGCTTGTGCGCTTTTACCCTCGTGTAAAACACAATGGCCCGGGGGTGTTATCGGTTGAGACATTACACAAAACATGACGGCCAGTGGCATAGCGGGGGGCGGGGGGGGGGGAGGCGCACTTTGAGAACGTGCCCCTCCCCTTCAGATCAAGATGCAACCCCCCCTCATTTTTTTTTTTTTTTAATTTCTGGCTACACCTCTGGCAAGGACAAAGACCAATCGAGAATCTCCAAGTAATTGCTTTCCTATCTTGCAACTGCAATGCTTTCTTTGTTGCCAGCAAGATCACCCGCATACAGTTCAACCCTTTTATTAGAGGCATGCTTGGGACAGCAATTCTTGTCTTTTATTTGAGATTTCTTTTACAAGCAGGGTACCTCGTATAGATTTTCTTATCAACCCATATTTTACTGTAGGCACAATGTGGTCTCTTATACTCATTTGTCTTCATATGGTGGTTTTGGGACGTTAAACCCCACATATTAATCAATTACTCATTTGTCTCTTATATCAATGTCTCATATAAGGGGGTTCGACTGTAGTGCAGTATGGCTACTACCAGCTCTGAATGAAAGACAGTATTTGCTTGCAGGTTTACCATGTAATGAAGCAGGAACTGGAGTCGCTGAAGAGGAAACACAAGTTGAGCATTGATGAGAACAACAACCTCACTATGAAGGTAAGGGAAGTGCTTTTGTCCTACTTTTCTTGATATATTTTTAATACTTCATTTTATTGTGGATGTGGAGAGATTGTCAGTGTCCCTATGGTTATCAAGGCCACAGATCAGCGATGGCGATGATTAGATACCGAATTTTAGGCAAAAGCCTATTTTGTTCCTTGTGTTCCTATCGTGTCCCTTTGATATATGAGCATGAATTAGAGGCTAAGAATAGCTTAAATTGTGTTTTTATAGTGCCTATAAATGCATATTTTTGACGTTTATGCCTAAATTTTAATAAGTGCCTATAAATGCCTATTTTCAAAATAGCAGAGACTGCTGCACCCTGCGGCGCACGAGCCACCTCCACACATAAACGGCTGCTGCGCCGCATGAAAGTGACGTCATGCTCTTTTCCAGTTAGGCGCTTTCTCTGAATAGTCGGAGTGTCTAGCATTATGTCTAGACGTAACGATAGGAGCCGTTGAAATTATATCCAGACTTAAAAATAAAAAAATGTTAGTTACATTCAATGTGACAACAATACAAAACCGGCTTGTTAAACCCTCCTAAAAAACCCTGTTAAAAAGTTTTTTTTTAAAGTTGTGGCGCAGTTGGCTAGAGCGGCACGTAAAGGACGGGTGAGGTCAGTGGTTCGATCCCCATTGCCGTCTTTTTTTTGTTGTTGTTGTTCACGCAAGCGTTGTTTTGACATTTGCACCAGTTCATCGGCTTCCCATCAGCCTGACTTGCTGCTGGTGGTCCTATCCAGAGGCACTTTGACATTGGATGTTTGATGACCCTCGCAGAATTGGCTATATTTATTATGATAGTGTTTTGCAAATTGATGCTCTTAATCGGCGACACGCAAAAGGACGTGAACAATTCGAATGCAGCTGCCTGCATCAGTTTCTGCAGCACACGCGTCAGGAAGGCGCACTGCAACGTAGCCACGTCGAATATACAACTGCAAACTTTTTTTATGTCGCGCAGCGTACCCTCACAAAACGAGGTAACCGGCAGGCCGCTTCTGAATACTGACGTCACATCATAATGCTCTAGGCAAATAACACGTACGGCCTGTGACAGCCCATGACCATTTACGTAGCAATGGATCAGAACGGCCGTACGTGTTCACACTTAGCAAAACAGCCTGCAATGCAGTAGCTTTCATCTTCGGAGATCACAGGCTTCGTAAGAACACTTCGGAGCTGCACTGGGGTTTCATGCATGTGCGGCCGGACAGTCACATGCGAACTGTGCAAACGCATTTATTTCATCGTCGACCTTGCCCTTCGCGACAAGCAAAACTCAGCAGCAAGGACACTTTCCTCTTTGACAACATGACGCCTGGCATTAAAATCTAGAAAATTTAGTACAGTCAACTGCAGTAATTCGCCCTTCATACTGAGAAACTTTATGGCGCACACACTTATATGAAGCTGTGGCGTGGTGAGCGGCTACGCTAGCTCCAACCTCCAGGATCAACTGGGCATCCAGCATTCCCATGAGGCCACGACGACACAGAGTCTCCGGTCCTCCTTGGGGGCAGCCTAGGCCCAGGCCACGAATTTGCCGGAGTTTTCTATAAGGTTGTTATCACCAGAACACTAATCACACATCACACAAACTTATTCAAACAATATACTGAACAAGAAAGAGACAGACTAGCGCTAACTCTCAACTATATTATTTTTGAAAGGAACGAAGCATATAAGAACCTGTGAAGCAGCATGGTGCAGGTGCAAGTCATGTGACAGGCAAACATAAAAATATATGGCTAAACAGAATTTTAAAAACTGTACTCTCTATCTGTTAGAGGCTTTTTGTGTAAATTTGGTGTATTTGCCCTATAGACATTGTATAACCTGTATATATTATATGTCATTGTACTTGCCATTTGTTCATGACTAACTTCATGTACCACCCTGCTAAAATCACCAAAGGTGATTGCAGTATCTGTAAATAAAAAAAAATAAATATTGGTAATATGCTCATAGTTGCATTGGTTGTTGCTTTTGTTGTTGCTCACTTTAACGAAACTGTTTTCTGCTCTTCATTTTTCTATGTAAATCACATACTCGCTGAAATGTTCTTAGTTGAATCACTAGCTACGCTTTGCAGAAATTTACTTGGTGAGCTAGCAAGAAAGCCACACTTTGTACTAATTTGCATGCAGATACACAACCTCGAGAAGGAACGCCTCGAATATGAGCAGACATTGAGCAAGCTCAAGGAAAAGCTCAACTCCCTAAAACAGGAGATTGTAGATCTTAATGGGAAGCTTGATGAGAAGAGGAATGTGGAGCTTCAGCTGGACAGGTAAGTTTCAACACTTGCTCATTTTGTAAATCTACGGTGCCCTGCAGTCTTTTTCTGCTGGTGTTAAGACCGAGTTTTGACAGCGTACCACATCTTCTGCCGGTCGTTGCGGCTCGGGTCTGGCGGGTGTCTTCGTAGGTAGCTGGCCGCTACTGGACCTGTTCAGCCCATCTTTCAGGGAGGAAGGCGCCTTCTTAGGGAGATATTTACGGAGGTTCATTTGCATAGATTACATAGACAAGAGTTACTTCTTGACGAACTGGTGTTAAAAAAACCCTGGGTCGAAAAGGCCCTCAAAGCAGTCCGCGAGGGCTGGTTATAAACAGTTTCGTTTCCCCAGATGCGGTTATGGGTCTCAGGCTCGTACAGACACATCAAAAGGACCGCAGCTACGCCGCTGTTACTTCGAGGAAAGTTGTCATGACCAAAACCCATTGAGGTCGAACGCGACGCCGGACTGCAGGGCGCCTGACTTCCCAGCTTGGAATGAAAATGCCCTGACAGGAATGGCTTTCTGCAGGCTAGCAGCCCCTCATTGACTCATTCGCAGTACACTGAATTCCGCTCTCCTTTTCGACCTAACTTGACACTGGACTACTGAATTAATCTGACACCTTTCATCTGGTGCACTGATATGGAATATTGTCACGGGGTCGTGACGTGGCCAAAGACAGGAAACTTCGTGTTGGGATTTAACTGTTTATTTGGGCGAACCTGTGCCCGGTAAAGGGAAAGTCTAATTACAGCAGCAGTCTTGCACAGATAGCAGTCTCGTACTGATAGCGGCGAACGCAGCGTCGGCCTTCGATCAACAACTGACAAGCGGCGAAGCGCGTCGGCATTTATACCCTTGCCGTCGAATGTTCTAGCGTTATCGCTGGCGGTGGCGTAGGTTCCAGAACAATCTGTACCGTTCGCACAGTGGGCGTGATCTTATCGAAATGATCTACTACAGTCCGGAACCTTCTCGAAACCTGCAGGCGCGGTTTGCGCCGAGAATCGTGTGGAGTTTCGGAACGATAACAAAAACTTGTGAAATGGAACGTGGCATTGCCCCCCTCTGAAAAAAGGCATCGTCCCGATGCTTTAACTAAAGATGAAGGTACAATAATAATGCAAGAAAGTACAATGAATAAATTACAATACAACAATAATACAAAAAACACTGTTTGTTAACGTGCATGAAACGGCTTGAGGCGCGTGACATGGACGACTTCAGGTCGCGATCGGCGTCGTTGAGAGTTCGTGATGCCGTCGGGGACAACCTCATAATCAAGTGGGCCGAGACGTCGAACCACCTTGTACGGTCCGAAGTACCGTCGCAGAAGCTTTTCACTTAGTCCGCGTCGGCGTATCGGCGTCCACACCCAAACACGTTCACCGGGCTGGTATTCCACGAAGCGTCGTCGAAGGTTGTAACGGTGGCTGTCGGTCGTCTGTTGATTCTTGATACGGAGACGCGCAAGTTGTCGGGCTTCTTCGGCGCGTTGAAGGTACTCGCTCACATCGAGGTTTTCTTCGTCGGTGACGTTGGGTAACATGGCATCGAGCGTCGTTGCCGGGCTCCTTCCGTAGACCAATTTGTGTGGAGATATCTGCGTCGTCTCCTGCACCGCCGTGTTGTATGCGAAGGTCACATACGGAAGAATGGCGTCCCACGTCTTGTGTTCGTCATCGACGTACATTGACAGCATGTCGGCGATCGTCTTGTTAAGCCGCTCGGTGAGGCCGTTGGTCTGTGGTGGGAGGTACGCTGTCATCCGGCGGTGGTTTGTTTGGCTGTATGCCAAGATCGCTTGAGTTAAGTCGGCAGTGAATGCCGTTCCTCTGTCGGTGATAAGGACCTCCGGGGCGCCGTGATGTAGGACGATATTTTCGACGAAGAACTTAGCTACCTCGGATGCACTGCCTTTTGGCAGGGCTTTTGTCTCGGCGTAGCGGGTGAGGTAGTCGGTAGCTACCACGATCCACTTGTTTCCGAAAGCCGACGTCGGGAACGGCCCCAGTAGGTCCATACCAATCTGCTGGAACGGTCGGCAAGGTGGATCAATTGGCTGCAGAAGTCCCGCTGGCCTTGTCGGCGGTGTCTTGCGTCGCTGACAGTCCCGGCATGTCCTCACATAACGAGTGACGTCGGTGGTAAGACGTGGCCAGTAGTACCTTTCTTGTATCCTCGCGAGCGTGCGGGAAACACCGAGGTGCCCTGCCGTCGGATCGTCGTACAGGGCCTGCAGGAGTTCTGGTCGCAGAGCTGAAGGCACCACAAGGAGGTACTTAGCTCAAAGCGGTGAAAAGTTTTTCTTTTGTAGAAGACCGTTTCGTAGAAAGAACGACGCAAGTGCGCGCTTGAATACCTTCGGGACTTCGGCGGTCCTGCCTTCGAGGTATTCTATTAGGGCTTTAAGTTCCGGGTCGGCCCGCTGTCGTTCAGCGAAGTCGTCGGTAGTTATCGTTCCCAAGAAGTAGTCGTCATCCGAGTCGTCGGGTAGCGGTTGGTCGACAGGCACACGAGAGAGACAGTCAGCGTCGGAGTGTTTTTTGCCGGACTTGTAAATGACAGTAATGTCATACTCTTGAAGTCTCAGGCTCCATCGTGCGAGGCGACCTGAAGGGTCCTTCAAGGTGGCTAGCCAACACAAGGCGTGGTGGTCGCTCACAACTTTGAAGGGCCTGCCATAGAGGTAGGGGCGAAATTTCGACGTAGCCCAGATGATGGCGAGGCACTCCTTTTCTGTTGTGGAATAATTTGCTTCTGCTTTGGATAGCGATCGGCTAGCGTAACTAATAACCCTTTCAAGTCCGTCAGCCCTCTGCACAAGAACGGCGCCAAGACCTACGCTGCTTGCGTCAGTATGTATTTCTGTCTCGGCGAATTCGTCGAAATGGCCAAGTAACGGAGGCGTCTGGAGGCGATGTTTAAGCTCCTGGAAAGCGTGTTCCTGTGGCGTTTCCCACTTGAACTCCGAGTGGGCCTTGGTAAGGTTAGTGAGAGGATCGGCGATGCGGGCGAAGTTTTTCACGAACCGCCTATAATAGGCGCACAGGCCCAGAAATCGGCGCACGGCCTTCTTGTCAGTGGGCGGCGGGAAGTCGGCGATGGCGGCTGTTTTCCATGGATCGGGACGAACTCCAGACTTGCTGATAACGTGCCCCAGAAACAAGAGCTCCTCATACGCAAATCTGCACTTTTCTGGCTTCAGTGTGAGTCCGGACGTCTTGATGGCTTGAAGTACAGCTTAAAGGCGCCGAAGATGCTCGTCGAAACTCGAGGAAAACACGACGACGTCGTCCAAGTACACAAGGCAAGTCTGCCACTTCAATCCTGCCAGTACTGTATCCATAACGCGTTGAAAAGTTGCAGGCGCTGAGCAAAGGCCGAAGGGCATCACCTTAAACTCGAAGAGGCCGTCCGGTGTTATAAACGCCGTCTTCTCTCGGTCTCTTTCGTCTACTTCGATTTGCCAATAGCCAGTCTTCAGGTCCATAGACGAGAAGTACTTGGCGTTATGGAGCTGATCAAGTGCGTCGTCTATTCGTGGGAGAGGATACACGTCCTTTCTTGTGATTTTGTTCAGGCGGCGATAGTCGACGCAGAAACGTAGGGTCCCATCCTTTTTCTTCACTAACACCACGGGGGATGCCCACGGACTCTTGGACGGCTGGATAATGTCATCTCGCAGCATTTCATCAACTTGTCTCTTCATTGCCTCACGTTCTCGCGTCGAAACCCTGTACGGACTCTGACGGAGTGGTCTGGCATTTTCTTCGGTTATGATTCGATGTTTCGTGATTGGGGTCTGCCGAATTTTCGATGACGACGAAAAGCAATCTTCGTATTGCAGGAGCAGGGCCTTGAGCTGTTCTTGCTTATCGTTCGGAAGTCTGGGATTAACGTCGAAAGCTATGGGAGGGGCTTGGTTCCTCTGAGCAGGTTCCGCAGAATCGGCGAGGGCGAAAGCACTGGTGGCTTCGACAATTTCTTCGATGTATGCGACCGTTGTTCCTTTGTTCACATGTTTGTACTCATTGCTGAAATTCGTGAGCATAACCGTTGCTTTGCCTCCCCGCAGCTCTGCAATTCCTTTTGCGACGCAAATATTTCGGGTGACCAACAGATGCTGACTGCCTTCAACGACGCCTTCCAAGTCAGGTGATTTAGGAGCGCCGACTGAAATAATGACGCTTGAGCGAGGCGGAATGGTGACTTGTTCTTCCAGCACATTCAAGGCATGGTGTCCTGACGGCGTGCGCGGCGGTAGTGCTTCTTCTGTGGATAACGTTATCGACCTTGTTTTTAGGTTGATGACAGCACCATAGAGGCATAAGAAGTCCATGCCAAGGATGACATCTCTCGAGCAACGCTGTAGGACTACGAAGTCTGTAGGATAAATACGGCCGTTAATGGTGACTCTCGCTGTGCAGATTCCTGCAGGCGTTACGAGATGACCTCCGGCTGTGCGGATTTCAGGGCCTTTCCAAGCTGTCCTAACTTTCTTTAACTTCGCGGCGAACGACCCACTGATGACAGAATAGTCGGCTCCAGTATCGACGAGAGCAGTCACACTGTGGCCGTCGATAAGAACGTCGAGGTCGCTAGTTCGCCGTCTCGCATTACAGTTAGGGCGTGGCGTCGGGTCACGGCTGCGTCGGCTTGTTCCGCTGCTTCCATGTTGCGTCGTCCGGCCACCTTCGGTAAGTGAGCTTTTGCCTTCAGGGCTTTGCCTGGTTGGTGTTGTGTTCAAAAAAGCTCCGTCGCGTCGGCGTCGTCGGAGGAGGATCTTCGGTAGTTCGTCGCACAGCGACCGCACCTCCACCGGTTGCTGCCCTTAGTTTTCCGGATACGGGCTAGGAGACCGGCCCCGTGTTGGGCCAGAGTACTGCCGGGGATGCGGTGACATGCGGCGGCTGGGCGACGGCGAACGGGAAGGACTTCGGGGTGTCCATTGAGTTCCTGTCAGGTAGTCGGCGATGTCACGTGGCCGTTCCCCTGGCTGCGGACGTGGTGCATCGACGGCGAAGCCACGCAGTCCCATCTGTGGGTACTGGCAACGGCGGTAAGCGTGCCCGGCCTCGCCGCAGTGGTAGCACAGTGGGCGGTGGTCAGGGGTGCGCCAAACGTCGGTTTTCCTCGGCGCACTGCGCTGGCCCGATGGTGAACGGTAGGTCGTCGGTTGGGGTGGTGGCGGCGGTGGTGTCCGGCGACGGAAGTGCGACGGGGCGGCGTTTTGGCGTGGACGGGGAGGAGCGTTGTGGCGCACTGCAGCGGCGTAGCTCATAGTTTCTGGCTCGGGCAGCGGTGTTTGGGGAATTCGAAGTGACTGCCGAACTTCTTCTCGCACAATGTCGGCGATCGAATCCACTTGAGGGTGCGCCGAAGGCAACAGTTTGCGCAGCTCTTCCCGCACGATCGCTCGGATCGTTTCACGCAGGTTTTCGGAGTCACTGGTTTGAGCAGAAGCGCATTCTGGAGTCAGGCGACGATTATACTGTCTGGTGCGCATGTCAAGGGTTTTTTCGATGGTGGTCGCCTCGGATACAAATTCTTGGACGGTGTTCGGTGGATTCCTCATTAGTCCCGCGAAGAGCTCCTGTTTGACCCCTCGCTTGAGGAAACGAACTTTCTTTTCCTCAGGCATGTCTGGGTCAGCGTGACGAAATAGGCGGGTCATCTCCTCTGTGAAAATTCCAACCTTTTCATTTGGTAGCTGAACCCGGGTCTCGAGTAGAGCAGCGGCCCTCTCTTTGCGAGCGACGCTTGCGAACGTTTGCAGAAATTCACCGCAGAAGACATCCCACGTTCGGAGCGTGGACTCCCGATTCTCTAGCCAGGTCCTTGCGGTGTCTTCCAGGTAGAAGTACACACGACGGAGCTTTTCTTCGTTGTCCCAGTGGTTGAGGGCGGCCACACGGTCGTACGTTTCTAGCCAGGTTTCCGGGTCTTCAAACGATGAGCCATGGAACGTTGGTGGTTCCCTGGGTTGATGAATGACGATCGCGGGCTGGGACGCTCCGGTTGTCATTGTCGCTGCAGTCGAGGTCATGGTCTTGGTCTTCCACGCCTTGTCTTGTAGAAGGCCGTACTCCGGTGGGAGACCTTGCTGTCGGCGGCTCGTTCGCTGCTCTTGGTTGGCGTCGGTGTCTTCTCCGCGACGGGGGCTGGGTTCACGGCTTCACGGGGGCGTCCGGTACATGAACGAAGCAGCACCTCCACCAGATGTCACGGGGTCGTGACGTGGCCAAAGACAGGAAACTTCGTGTTGGGATTTAACTGTTTATTTGGGCGAACCTGTGCCCGGTAAAGGGAAAGTCTAATTACAGCAGCAGTCTTGCACAGATAGCAGTCTCGGACTGATAGCGGCGAACGCAGCGTCGGCCTTCGATCAACAACTGACAAGCGGCGAAGCGCGTCGGCATTTATACCCTTGCCGTCGAATGTTCTAGCGTTATCGCTGGCGGTGTAGTAGGTTCCAGAACAATCTGTACCGTTCGCACAGTGGGCGTGATCTTATCGAAATGATCTACTACAGTCCGGAACCTTCTCGAAACCTGCAGGCGCGGTTTGCGCCGAGAATCGTGTGGTGTTTCGGAACGATAACAAAAACTTGTGAAATGGAACGTGGCAATATATTCTGTGCAAAGATATTGAATATATCATAGTAATTCATTCTTATGATTATTAAAAATGATTAAAACATAATGACTACTTGGTTATATAATGCAAAATATTATTAATGAGCTCTGCAAGATCTTACGGGAGGGTGAAAGGGTTATAGAAAGGATTATTGATAACTGCCAGTTTGTTACATAATGTACCCTTGATTAAAAATTGCTTGAGTGGGTAACAGTAGAAACATCTTCTGTGCATAATTACAGCTTATAAAAGCAGTCTTTTTCATCTACAGCATCACAAAGATAGTTTGTCATGGCATTCATGACAGTCTAAAGTATAGAAATGCAGCATGTAGTTTGCATTTTTCATCATGGCACCATGCTCACTGTGCTGTTCTGATGAACTTGGAGTTCATGTGAATGCACTTTAGAAGCATTCAGCTGTACCTTGGATAGTTAGACATTTCAGTGCGGCTGGCTAAATTACTTTGTACTTTTCTCTTTTTTTTTTTCAGTCTACCCATTTTGTATTTTTTAATCTTACTAGATATACTTTACATTGTTTCTTAATTTTTTCTTACAGATAATGTCACATAATGTATTATTTTACTTGTGCATTTAATTCTCGTACTTGCTTTAATTTGTCTTTTCGACTTCTGTTATCACCTTTTTTATTTTGGTCAGTTGTTTACTGCTGTATCGGAACCTGTGTATCGCCCCTTTGTTGTAGGTCATGTAGGCTGGAGTTTTTTTTTTTTTTTTTTTAATTAATTGCCCCGCCGCGGTGGTCTAGTGGCTAAGGTACTCGGCTGCTGACCCGCAGGGCGCGGGTTCGAATCCCGGCTGCGGCGGCTGCATTTCCGATGGAGGCGGAAATGTTGTAGGCCCGTGTGCTCAGATTTGGGTGCACGTTAAAGAACCCCAGGTGGTCTAAATTTCCGGAGCCCTCCACTACGGCGTCTCTCATAATCATATAGTGGTTTTGGGACGTTAAACCCCACATATCAATCAATCTTTTAATTAATTAAGCAATGCCAATGAGCTGTAGAGTACTGTATTTTCTTGCAAATTTGTGCCATCGCATAATTTGCGCTCCCCAAATATTTTGTGAGCTTCATGGAAAAAACTATTTACTCGCTGGGTCTAATTACTTCATTTTTTTCATATTTTTCTTACCTTTCCTACTGATTGTGTATTAAAGCACTGAACTGTCTATTTGAGCACGCTGTGGTGGGGGCTTGTACGCAGGGAGCGAGAGAAAGTAGTGGCTTCGCAGCAGGAAGTAGAGCGACTGCGGCAGTCGGCTGCTGAGATGCAAGCTGACATGGAGGCCTGTCATCTAAAGGAGGGAGAGCTGCTGGAGTTCACAGAGCGCCTGACCACCAAGAGTGTCCAGCTACAGTCTGAGCACAGCCTCCTAGAGCTCAAGGTGACCAGTGGGCCCACTTTGTGTTGGCATTGACTGTTGGCATTGACCGTTTGGCCATGTACTATGAGCTCTATTCAGAGAAAGGCTTGCAGTTTTAGTCCTCCCATTGCTCATTTTTTTGGCACACATTGTGCTTTTTACTTCTTATCTGCATTGTTTGGCGTTTTGCCTTCAGACAGCGATCGATAGTTTTGTTCACTTTTAAAAGTAGCTATAAAAAGAAAATGTATACCCTGCAGTTGCAGTGAAACTACTGATTTGCCCATTTTACGCGATCACTTGAGCACTTTGCTGTGGCCATAAAATTTGAGAGGAAATTTATTTGATTTACAAGGGGGAGGAACATTCATTACAGGAAAAATGGTCATCATGGCGTGAAGTTCTCTAAGCAACCTTTAGTGGTTCTTCAAAAGTAAAGCCGTGAGATTGAAAAAAATTTTATAGGTGTAGTTGGTTGAAGCTTATAGAATGCAGCATCGTTATCAGCATCAGCCTAATTGTGTCCACTGTAGGGCAAAGGTCTCTCCTATGTTTTGCCTATAAAACCGATCCTGTACTTTATTGGCATAATATGAAAGAGACCTTGGCCAGGATACATTGTTGTATAAAAATTTGCCGAGTGCAACCTGTTCTTACAGTAGTCTACTGCCTCTCCTATATTTCACCTATAAAACCGATCCTGTACTTGATTGTCATAACATGAAAGAGGCCTTGAGCAAAATACATTCTTGAATAAAAATTTGCCGAGTGCAACCTGTTCTTACAGTAGCCTATTTTCTGTGTTTGTTTTAGTTAAGTTTAATATGCATTGGTTGGTTCTTGGCATGTGAGTGTAGCTCATTGAAGGCTACAGGCCTTCCTAATATATAAGAACTGTAGAAGTGGTTTGTGGTCATTTTTCTCTGTTAGTAGTCATTTATGCAGCTGTCACTTTGGTCATACTGGTGCTTAGGTTTCCAATGTGTGGGGAGTTTTACTGTAGTTAAGGCTATCTTTGACAATAGTGCTAAAGTTGAGCTGCTTGTTGTCTAACATTTATTTGTCTTTTTTTTTTTTTCGGTGTGGTAAATGTGTAGGCCCAGAACCTAGAAGAGCAGAATAGCAAGCTGACACAGGAAATTGCGCAGCTCAAGAAGCAGAATCGAGACCTGGTGAGTCTTGTGCTTTGTTTCGCTCGCATGCACTCATTGGAGTGCCACATTATGCGTTACAGAGACAATTTTTGATGAGCACTGAATTTGAATTTTCCTCTTTATGGTTATTTCATTTCAGTTTTTAGCTGGTCGGTGATGATTATGTAATGAGATTATGTTCATCCTTTATATTTTAAATTTGCACATATAAAGCTGTAGAAAAAAAAAAAAGACTGGCAGTGATTTGGGCTCTTTCTGGTTCATTTGAACACTTGCTGTTTATCACCTAAATTTCACTGCCTCAATGGCTGAATCTCCATGTTTGCAAGAATTTGTCATACACACTAGGACCTGAGTTTGGCAAAAGGGGCCTGTTTTGGAAGGGGAAGGGAGGACGAAGGTTATAAAATAAAGAAATTATATATATTGTAGAGTTTTCATAATTGTCCATATGCATTTAGAAAAGAGAATGTAAGCTCCTGGCATATGTGCAGGACTGCCCTACTTCTAAACAAATTTGTGCATTGAACCTTGCTTGTCCCTAGTGTACATGCCAACAGTTTCAATCATCTCTGCTAAACATGACAGACCTACACCTTGAGCCCAACTCAACAATTGTCCCCACATCAAACAGTGCATAAAGTTAGTAGCTTTCCGATTGAATGGCATAGGTCAGATGCAATCTATTCTACTGCCATAGGGAATGGCAATATAAAAAGAACTGTTCAAAAGAATAGTAAGTTCACTAACATTGGAACTCCAATGCAAAGTCATCACTCCTGCACAAATTACTTAACACCGTCAGTCAATCCTGTGTGCACATTGCCATTACCAACCTGCTAGAGCTAGAAACGCGTAACTCCTATCAGTGACACTTGCCTACAGCTGCACGCTAACATTGTTTTCCTTGCATTCATTTGCAAGCGTTTGCTTTTGCAGGCATTCGCCCGCTTGCAGCAAAGTGCTGTATGTAAAACTCTCGCTGCGAAATGCAGTCCTCTTTGTTGCTAGCACGATATTGTATTGTAGTAGGATTAATTTATGCCTTGGTATGGGCACATGCAAGCTTTTCTTTGCATTTTTCTTTGGCTGTAGTCAGGCCCACATTCATACCAAGTCCAAAGCAGATGAGATTCAGGCAGCCCAATTCTGTGCTCAAGTGGTGAGCGCTAGAGAGGAAGTGACATTCACAGGGTTGCTGGACTGAGGACACCTCTGGGGTGATTGCTCTAACATCTGAGTACGATGAAGCTAGTGGACCCAAGAGCGAGAATAAATTGACTAGAAGCTCTGGGCGCAGGAATACAGTATATGGCGGATCAGTTCCACAGAAGCCTGTGAGATGGAGGAAGGATCACGAAAGAGGAAACTGTCATCCACCTGTTTGTAGCAGGGTCATTCTATATAATGATCACATGGTGTTTTTTTTTTCACCATTTCCAATCTTGCTGAAACAAATCTTGCTAATATATGTCAGTGTGGGAAGTAGTTGTTGAAGCGGTAGGTTACCAAAAAAAGTTTCGCCATGCGGTGAGGGCACCTCAAACTTTTCCCACTGAAGTGAAACCATCTCGTGCAATGTAATTTACAGTAGAATCTCGATGATACGAATTCGAAGGGAGCGCGTAAAATATCCGTATCAGCCTGAATTCGTATGAACCAAAAACAACCCTAAGCTGAAAAAAATGATGAACAACAACTTCATTGGCAACTACACCTTGCTGAAGAAAAGTCTGTGATGTTCGTTTGAACTTTCCTGCCTTCACCGTCTCTTAATTAAGTGCCGCAGTTTCCTCGCTCATGCTGCTGGCACAGCGCGTTCGCAGTTGAAATCAGAGCGTATGAAAGCAGCCAAACTAATTGGAAATTCTCTTGCTTCCCCGTTTGAACAGCCAAAAAACCGTGCCGCGAAGTCGACACGAAAAAAATCAGTCTTGGAGAATTTGCATTGTAGAATTCAAGCGAAAATGCCAGCGCAGCCGGAAAACCACTTCTGCACCCGCCGAAAACGTTCACATTCGTTCTGCCCCTCGTATACCTGCCACCCCCGCTGCCGCCATCGCTGCTTGAGAGTTCATTTCATTTTGCCCGTTTCCTGAGCACTGAAGTTCGTACCGAGTTATAATTATGTATACAAGGCACTGAAAAGAAACAGTTTACACCTTTATTAACATTATTTCGGAAGACACGCCAGCCGAAATGACACGAGCGGACACAGCGGCGGCAACAGATTTAGCCGGCAGTGCAAAAGCAAGACACATTCGGGCAAGCTGACTCGCTGCCGCTGCACCTTCTTCTACTTTCGGTGTTATCAGCGATCGTAATCAAGACTAGGCTTTCGACGACCACGTCCTTGTAAAGGCCGTGAGCTTTGACGTGCCGCACGAGTAGTTCGCGATAGCGCCGACGCGACCCATCACCGATGCCTTCGCCGCCATGTCGATTTGCGGTTGGTTGTTGATATCTCGTGGTTTGAGAAATAGAGCAGCCGGTGAAGCCAGAGCCGTGAAGCAAAAAGGCGATACTATGCAATTGCGTGGGGGGAAAATTGGTCTTGATTGATTTTTTCGCATCGGCCACGCGGCGTGTTTTTGCTGCGTTGTGCTGCTGGCAGGCAGCAGTCAATCGCACATTCGTGTCATTCGCGGTGGTTGGGGAAACTATTCCTATAACACCGAATCATGGGGTATTTTATTTAATGTAGTCCATCCAAAACAACCTTAAAATTTGTATCATCGTGAAATTTGCATCAACCGTAATCGTATCATATAGATTCTTCTGTATTTGCAACTGCTGCTTTGAACGATATGAAACAATATTTTTCTTAATCTCAAGGCACCGGTCTTATATGGCTATGTTTTGTTTTTTTTTTTTTGTTTCAAATTGCATTACTTTTAACAATAAAAGAAATCCTCACAAAAATCAGCATTTAAAAATATTTCTTCTTGAAAATAAAAAGAACATAAGCTTTATTGCCTTTAAATGAGATGCACGTAGTATTTAATGAGCAACATGTTCACAATGTGGGCTTTATTGGTGCATGTACTATCTGATAAATATACTGTGGGAGCAAGTGAGACTGAAGTTATGGAAAAACTGTAACAGAGTATGAAGAAATGCTATTTTTGACCCATATTGCAGCTTTAATGTCAGTGCAGTGATCCAAGTAAAAATATAGCCTACAAAAACTTAGGCAGTACACCTTATTTCTAGTTGATACTGCACATTTTAAAACAGTAATTCTTGTTTTAAGTGAGAAAGAATTTTGAAGTTAAATATCCCAATGTTGTACAAAGCTTCTACGTGTTTAACCTTCACAGTGGAGCCCATTGGCGCAAAATTCAGGCGGGTGATTTTTTGCCATCGCATAAGGGAGCATACTGGGATATCTAATGCAAGTCATACAAGTGTCCATCCCCAGAAGTATCTAAATGCCATGCTTCTGGATATCCCTGGGACATATGATATGTATTTTATCATTTCTTGGGATTTCAAAAGGGTTAATAATTAATAATGAAAATATCTGCTAAATTGAATATTGTGTGCTCGTGTATGCTGAAATGTGGGACATGATTTTATGCAGGCATCTAGTCTTGAGGCTGAACAGAAGCAGCGTCAGCAAGAAACGCAGCTTCTGGCACGCAAGCTAGCTGAAAAGACCAAAACAAGTAAGATCCAGCAGTCATTTTTGTCGAAATACTGTGGGTTAGCATTCTATTATAAGACAGAGGCAAACAAGACAAATGTGCCACATGTTGTCAAGTGGATTTATTAGCTTAGATGCACTTATGCATTTACTACTTAGAGGGGTCCTGCAACATTTTCTTACTATAATCACCAAATAACCTCACTATAGTACTTTATTGCCTCGCAAAGCTCTTACCACAACACTTTTTGACTCCATCAAGTATTAGCAGAGCTACAGGGGTTCATGGCAGGCTCCAAGTGCCTTTCTCTTCTTCCCGACAAGTATGTTGGCAACTGCACAGGAAGGGATGACAAGTGGACACGAAGCTACATCGTCACGCCATGGCATTGAGCATTTCAGGCAATCGGTATGCCAGCATATGGTGGCACCTAATGGCGACTGCGCACCTATGTGGCATGACTGTCCTGCAAAAATTTGACCGAGCTCCATGAGAAACTTGTGTGCACTGGCTTTGTTCTCATGAGCTTGATGACTGATAGATAGTAACATTTTGAAGCAGTTATAGATTACTAAACACCAAGTGATGTCTGCCAAGGCATGTAGCTCTAGATACGCCTTGGGGAGTTTCATTCATGAAAGCATGCGCTGTCTCTGTCAAATGTAGCAGTGGTTTAGGTAAGGACATTGAACTTTTGTAAGTGCTTTAATAGCAGTACAAGACAAGTGATCGGCTCCGGTACGAGTGGTGTTTGAAATCACACAGGTGTACTGCTCTTGATGCCACCATACAGGAGCATAGGAGAAAGCAGAGCATTGCTGGTGCCAGTCTATCATGACCAAACGTACACCGAAAAGAGATAAAGGAGTGGATACCTTTTATTTATTGAACTCTAAACAAACCACAGAAGTATTACCGAGGATTATTACTTACTTGGAAAGACAGGGAAATTTTAAATTAGTAGCACAGTTAGAGGGAGCACTTGCTCAAAATTTTATAGTATGTTCTAAAAGTTTCACAAGGCCACCTTAACTATCTAAAAATATTAGGGCATGTAGGCTGTGTTCTGCCTTCTTGTGCACCTTATAAAGTGGGGTGGTTACCACACTACAGAAAAGTATGTTTTCATTTGTTACCGCAATAGAGGCTTATTGTTTGCATATTACAATATACTGTTACTGAACATGCTTTAAAAATAACTGTGCTAGAATTCTGTATGGCAGGTCATGGGATCGAATCCTGGGCATGACGGCCGCATTTTCAATGTAAGCGAAAATGCTTGAGACCGGTGTTTTTATAGATCTAGGTGCACGTCAAAGAATCCCAGGTGGTTGATTTCTGGAGCCCTCCACTCATAATCATATCGTGGACTGGGGACATTAAAAACCCGTCAAGTATAATTAATTCTCTATGGGTGGTCAATGATAAAAGTGCTTTGCCAAATTGCAGCAAGATGAATTGCTGCTACGTGCAAAGACAAATGGCTGCTATATGTGTTTTTTGTGCCACGCCTGTGCTGAGATAGACTTGAGTGAACCTTGAACTTGACACCACAGGGTCTGATGGAAAGAGTTTGATAGTTGTCTAAGTGGTGAAGCCAAACCAATTTGTCGGAGGATACTGTAGCAGTACTCTAGTGGTTCTGGTATTTCCGGCTTTTTTGTGGACGCATTAGTGTGTTTGAGCAAGCAGTGACACTGAAGCGCACGAATTGACTGGTGGAACTCCCCCCTGATTTGGAACTTGTCACAAAATAAAAAATAAAGCTCAGTCGCACAAGCTGCATTGTCTATAAAACCAGTTTTATAGTAGAATGTTTGTCCTGTGCCTTGTGCCTGACTGATCTGTATTTCTCTATTTCACGAATCAATTTTCGTTTTGCACAGTTGCACTGCTAAGCATGAAAGCACAGGTTGATTTGCTTGCTGTGATAGACTAATTTCTATGGTACAGTGCAGACCACTCATAACGTAACGGCTTATAGTGCTGGACTAGTTACAATACGGTCTTTTTCGACTCCCATACACCCTCCTGTAAAACCCCATGTAAACGCGTACCGCTCATTGGGCAGTCCCCCATGATGAAAGACCGATTAAATGCAGTTGCTAGAAAATCTTTATCACAAACACGGTAGCGAGTGCGCTTTTGAAAGGAGTGCGCTACTAGGGAGGGAGCGACAAGGTCATTAAGGAGGAAGAGGGGAGACAGAGTTAATGAACGAGGGCGGAGGGAGGAAAAGAAAAGAAAGACCGTGGCATGCTGCGTGGGCTCTCCAAGTGAGGGAGGAGGAAAGACCCGTTATAATGCATTGGCAATCAATGTGTTGCTTGCAGAGTGAGGGAGGAGGGCAGTTGCCTGGGCACTTGCCTTGGCAACAGATAGGCCTTTGCAATGGCACTGGCACGGCTATAGTGTGGCTCCAGCCGCTTGCTGCCAGCCGCGCACTGCTCAACACAGCACGTGCGATCCTGCCCTATCAACTGTGCTTAGAATTTTCCTGTCCGGAAAAGCGTCATCACTGTCAAGCTTGCTACAGATATCGCGTTTGCTACTTCGACCGTAAATTTAAAACTTTTACTGCTTTATGCCGCAAGCTTTCGCTTTCGTTGCCAGTGCACGGTTTTACAGCTTGGCAGGTTTTTGACGCCTTTGATCTCTGGGCCGCAAATGCGATCTTTGCATCATGTTCGCTGTTCTTAGTTTAATGCTTGAGTGAAACTTTTTCAATGCCCTATCTTCATGTCTTGGACAAACTTTCTGCTACAATATGCCAAACAGCAGGCTAGGTCTGATTAGTGTTGGTTTCATTTCGGTAGCGGTTGTGTGGAATCTAAGTTGCGGTTTGGTACAGAAAGAACAAAACTCTTTGTGGTGGCTACGCTTGAAGGGAAAGGAAGAGATACATATCATTAATGAATACGAGGGCGGCATGTGTAGCCCTCGATTAATGGTTTGCGATTTGATTGCGATGTCTTTAAATAGGGTGCACGAAATTTCAGACATGATTCGGCTTAGTTTCTGTGTAATAGTCTAGGCGGTCTGAAATGTAGTTGGCAAATTTTGGTGATAGTTCTTTTTTTTGTTAGAGCCTACCCCCCATTTTGCATTCATTTCATTGGAAACACAGGTGTTTGGGCGTTACATTTTATAATGTTGTGAATTTAAATGGTTGTAAGCACTATGCATTGCAGGCTTTGTTTCTTAGGCACGCGAGGCTGCATGCTCAACACGTTTTGCACAGCTGTGGCCCTTAGAAAAGGTTATTTTGGTTATAGTGCGGTACTGCTTATAGTGCGGTACTGCTTATAGTGCAAATATTCGCAACACCCGCGGCTTACTTTATAAGTGGCCTATACTGTAGAGAAATGGAAAAAAAAACCAGATGCAGTAGGCTCGATATTTAAATTTGAGGGTGCTGCAGGATTTTGTTTTATGAGCAGAAGTTCTCATAAATGTGACTCTGGGCATCATACCTACTTTCATTGCGATGTTTATTCAGTGTCGCAGCAACATCATAGACAGCTTTGGATGAGTGCCAGTGAAGCTTGTAGATGTTGGCAGTTGTACTGGTGCTCATTATTATACAACGGATGTATGCTTGTGTACAGTGGACTCTCAGTAAACTGAACCTGATGGGACTAGGAAAATATGTTCTATTTAACAGGAGTTCCGTTTACTGATAGGTGAACATAGGTGCAGAATACAAGCCCGAAAGCAAGTATTGCAGAGGCAATAGTTCCGTTTAAACAGTAGTTCCATTTAACAGATTTCCGTTTACTGAGAGGCTACTGTAGTTTAGGGGAGAGACTGGTGTTCTAAAAATTTTTTTTGTTTATTATCATATTTGAATGAAATTTTCACGCAATGTATCTTTTAACCTGCTGTGAAGATATATGCAATCCATTTTCTTTTATCTCAAGTATTTTTAGAGATAGTGAATAAATAATGAATAGTTGGATTGCCCAAATATTCTGCAATTTAAACATTAAATATCTTTGAACACTTTATATGGACATAGTCTAGAATAATCAAGGATCACAATTATACTATCACTGTAATTTTAGCTCTATTTTTATAAAAGTTATTGCCATATGTAATATAATAGTCGGGAACATGAGAATTTTCATGAGATTTATCAGCACATAAAAAATTTTCTCTTGACTAAATATAAATTTTAGTAGTCTTATTGTGTATAGGAACTCGTAAGCTGTCAATTGCAACAATCTGATCACTAGATCAAAAGATACTGTGGGCAACAGTATAGCACATAGGCAAAAAACTGATTTTGAGAAAACACAAAAAGAAGTTTGAAGACTATATATAGGTTTAATTCTTGCCAAAAAAGCAACAGATGGGAGTCCTTTTTGCTCTAGAAGCCACCAGGCTCATAATCACCATCACTCTCTTTTACACGCCTATTCTTCATGGCATTCTTAGTCTTCTGCTCTGGTATGCTTTTTGTCACATGCCGCTAGCCGCTGCTGGTCCTTTTCCATACATCTTTCAACATCTGTGTTGCCTTGGTTCAAATGCAGCTCCTTCAAAATGGCCTCAGAAGCACGTTTCTTTCCAGCATTGAACCGAGCAACCGCTTCCGCAACAGCAGTTTCGACTGTGAAGAGCGAGGCGTGCTTGGTTTTCGGTACAAGCGACCATATCACTGAATGGAGGCTCTCATTTGAGTTTTGAGTTTTGCCTCTTTGGCAGCGCTCCAACAGCTTTCGATCTGAGAGGCGAGTGTACACTGGAAGGAGCGCTTCTGCAACATATTCCGGGAGGTTGTACTGATGCTTATGAGGAGCCTGCTGCCTTGCCACTGCCTTGTTGTGGGCACACCATGAGTCTTCTCCCTTTGGGCACCGTGAATGTTGTGGCTTTGCATCAGTAGAAGTCACATGATAGTAAGTGGCAAGGACAGCATTCTCCATCTCATCGATGTTTGCCTGGTGTGCCTTAAGTGCCCAATCATAATAATTTGTAAGCTTCGTTACAAGCTCAGCAGTGAGCTTTCCTTTGCCACCGAGGCTTGGCCTACCTTCCCCCTTGCTCTTCTGCAGGAAGTGTCTCAGTGCAGCACCCATCCTTTTATGTATATGATTTACGCAATCCTCCTTTTCGATAGCCACGAAGCCATACACTTGCTCCTCCTGAAGGCTGTTGAAAGCGCGGCTATCGCCATCGCACAACATCGTTGTGTAGCGGAATCCATGCTTTTCGAGGGACCGGCGAAACAGAATTTTGGCAGCCTCCACCTCCATCTGGCCAGGCTTGCTCGAAGTGTTTTTTGGCACTTGTGCCGAGCTCGCCACTCACTGTATCGAGGGTCATCGTCCTTGGGGCCAATCTCGCAACCCAAACAGAAGTTCGAGAGAACTTTGAAGTCCAACACATCGCCCGAAAACAGTTCTATTACAGTTCCCACACAAATGTGCGACAAGTGGCCACGAATGAGCCAAGTCCCGTCGAAGGAAACTGCGATATTGCCAGGGTTCCCGAAATTCAGTTCAGAATAGATGGCCTTCACAGCTGTTGCGCACTCACTCATAATACCCGCGGATGCGTTCATCGCGGCAGGGTTCATCTTGGTTTTGACGTAGTCTTGGTACGTTTTGTTGTGCATTCCACGACGAGACACATTCAGGGCCGAAAAAATGTCGTTTAGCACGGTCTGCCCATTGCCTGTGCTCATAACTGCACGAGCCGCAAGCACATTTACTTCGAAAGGGTTGCAGGTCGAATTCCCCCCCTGCTCTCGGCGAGCTCCATCCGGCGCTGACATCTCCGCAGACGGCACAGTTCACCACTATTCTAACTGCCAATCTGTACTCATGGTCGCCCCGTGAAACGTTCAATGGGCCAGAGCAGAATTCGCATTTCGTGCACCGAAGCAGTTGGTTCAGCAGTGGTAGGCTTAGCAGTGTGAACTCGATGCTGGACCCCGCCCCTTCCGGTGAATCTCCGATAAGCGACCGCTTTCGGCGGGTAGCTGATAACGAAGACAGCTTCTGTCGTTGCTCTTCCACGTGATGCTCAATTGCCACTTTTTCCGCTTTTGTCACAAAATGCGTATCGACGCGCGTTGTCCTCCTGTCGTCGGCCACAGGCATCGCTTGCGCGGCTGCAGCTTCGGTGGATATCGTACACTCGCTGGCGCATGTCACGGAGCTCGTCGTCGTCGATTCACTCGACGCTGCTTCAGGTATCTGAGACCGACGCTTGCGTTTTTTGCCGTAGGCATGAGCTGTCGCGAATTTGCATCGCCCGCCAGCCATCGTCGCGTCTGAACAATTTGTGACAAGGAGTCGCGCATTGTTGCACACAGTAGGGCAGACGAAATTTTCTGTCGTCCAATCGGAGAGCAGGATTTGCCCTACGTGGTACAAACGCCCCAATGCCGTGCGAGTATTCCCTCCTTTTCAGTGGCGTGTAGCTCCATAATCGCCAGACTTAGAGTTGTTTTCTCGCTAAAACCGGATTGCTGAAGAATTTAGCTTTCGAATGATTCCAAAATGGCCGCGCTGCGGCTAACACTTACTGCAGACGACGGCATTGAAATTGCCCATTTTGGGGAGGGGGGGGGGCATTTTCGAGCGAGAGTGATCATGAAGATCTGTTTAGAACGCAATAACAAAATAAATACTAATCGGAATGCGTTAATATTCCAGCAATAGATTCTTTTGGACGTCCAGATTTCGAAAAAATATATTTTGAAAAATTGATTTTTTGGCAATTTTTTTCTCTAAAAGACCCGTGCCTCCCCTTAAAGGACCCGTGAAGCCAAATTTGAAAACTCGAGATGCTTGTGTTGCTTGATAGTCCCGCATGCGAGGCCACCTCTGACTGATTATTAGTGGCGAGTGTTGCCTAGACGATATTTTTATTTGGTTTTAAAGTAAGGGTGCGTGCTCCTCTGAGTATTCAGGTGCAATCGACATTTTTTGCGGTTTCATGTAGACAGGGGTTCCCCTTCTGACCTTGCAGAGTTCAAGAACACTTGCGGACACGCACAATACCCCAACTGGTACAGTGGTACCCGGCAAGGACTATTGTTCGTCACCCCTCTCGCTCTGTTGTCGGCTGCTCTTGTCAGGAATGCTTTTCTTTTTTCTGAGGGGGACATACTTAAAGCCCTCCCATTATTTCATTTTTCACCGCCCGCAGGTCTTCCTCTTTGAAAATAGCGTGTTTCAGCGTCACCGAAGCTTGAGAGCATGTAGTTTCAGGCGCTGCTATGCTGTGGGGTGCTAGATTCTTATGGTATTTAGGCGGGCTTTTTGAACTAACGCAAAATTGTTATGAATTAATGCCACTAGCATTAATTGTACGATTAGTTAGAGCATCTATGATATAATTTTGGCATTACCAGATGCAAACCTACAAATTACTGTAAAAAATTTGCAAACAAAACTTTTGCGGTCAGGGGTCTTTTAAAGAATAAAATGTGTTGTGTCCAGTGACATTCTTAGGATTTTTTTTTTTTTTTTTTGCATGACAACATAGTACTGCAGTGAAAATGACATTATCAAGCGTTTGCTGCACGATAGACCAAGGTCAGATTGTCTCACCTTTCTAATCTCTTCAGTCAGCGGGGTATTGTTAATGTGCATGGCTTGGCCAGTTTGGCTGTTTTGTAGGCAGACAATCAGGTTTATTTGTGATTGTTAGGGACAAAAAAATGGGACTATTCATCCAGAAGGAACAAAGGTAGCAGATATTTTTAGGCATGGATAAGCAAAAGAAAAAAGTTTGGTGAGGCAGTTTGAAAGTAGTGGCTTTAAAATACAGGAAAAACATAACAGGGGAACCCAAATATATATATATATATATATATACGTATGAGCTTAGTCTGAAATATAAGAGTTTAAATTATCGAGTCTGCTGTAAAGTTTATGCACACATTGAAAAACAAAATCACTGTTGGTCCTGTTTTCTGCTCAGTTGAAAAGTTGACAACACAAGTTCAAGATGCTGAGAATGAACAAAGAGTGATGAAGAGACGGCATATTTCAAGCATCAAGGTATGTGTAGCTTGGCATGCTAGTTACAATTGCTCTTGCTCTTCCTATTGTCGTGTGCCCCTTAAGGTTTATGTGAGGTTTTGCTAGGAAAAAAGAAATAGTCATGTGCTGGTTTAACGAAATACATGATATGAAAAGCTATTGAAACTGTATATGGCATAAATATGCCCGCAAGTCAGTCGCATTATGCTTGCCACTTGTGCCCTCTTTTCTAAAATGTGAGAAAAGCAAGCAGTAACTTGGGCATTTAAAGGTACCTAGATGTAAATGGCACATTTTATAACCCCAGAATGCAGAGACTTGGCTCGCGCCTTTGATTTGACTTGATTAAGTGGGTACAAAGCAAGCAGCGGACTTGAAAACGCCCCATTCAGCCTTCACATTTCATAGATGCTCAGGCTGTCTTGCTTGGTCAAGTCAAGAACAAGCTTCAATGCAGAAACGCGTTGCTCGCCTGGGAACAAGGTTAATAATAAAGTTGTTTGCATAAGGCACGTGTTACAGAAAAAAAAAATCGTACATTTCAAAACAACTATAAGAACAATGTGCCACAAGCATATTTTTACCATTTTACGGCTAACGAGCGGCACGTGATGTCCGCCGCCGCAGCAATGCGCAGTGTTGCTTCGGAAAAGCGTCTGTTGCATGCTGGTCCACCCATATGCAACAGACGCTTTTGCATGCTGGTCCACCCATATGCTGGTCCACCCATATACCCACATTTAAGTCCACCCATATGCAGCGCGTTGTTTTACGCTTGCTTGTTTGGAGGTGAAGCAAGCATCGCATTTTTACAGCGAAAGCTGTTATGAATAAGGTCACAGCTCGGGTCATGCGCAATTGTCTGCCGCCGCCGGTGTCCCTAACCACACTGTGCAAAATTAGAAAAAAAAAACTACCACCAATGACACAATGGGGCTCGAACCCGGGTCCACTGGGTGCCAGCCCAGTATTCTACCACTGAGCCACACCGGTGCTTGGGACTTGTTGGCAAAGTTGCCTTAAGCAGGCTTGATGATTGGATAGCAATCGCGTTAATACGACTTCTAAAGCATTTTAAAACAGCAAAAGAACAACCAGTGGTCGCACAATGCGAATAGCATAATGAGTGGGTCGTCCAATGCCCCAACCCATTACAAAAGCTTGTTCTTGTTCTCTATTAACTATGGCGCATACCCACTTCAGCCATAATTCCTCATCGTCGTCAGCCACTGCATGAACCATTGGCACAAAATTCCTTGAAAGTGTTTAGCGGATACTAAGCTTCTCAGAAGAATGACGAAAAATAGCATAGCGAATGCCGGCCTACTACCCAAAAAATTTTATTATTAATGCCCTAGGGGCCATTAAGCAAGTGTGCTTGCAATAGTGAGTGAGTGTTTTGAAAGGCTCTGAAAGGACGCTCTTATAGTTTTCGCTGTGACTTTGCTGCACCTTCCACGCAGGTCTGGCTTTTTTTTTTTTTTTTCATTAGAATGCCACGACATCTATTTGTGCTAACCTGGCTCGCGAGGTAACGTGATTTTCAAGATATTCTCTTTTTTATTCGCCTGTGGACATGCTTGTACCAGGCTAGGTCACAGTTATATTCGAAAAAATAAAAGCAACAAGTTCTGGTAACAAAAGTGATTCGTATCCTTTTGTTGAGCTTGGTAAACAAAAGAAAAAGTGGGGGTCAGGACATTGCCCTCGGCGGAATTTTGTCTCGCCGAGTGCAGCAATGTCTCGCTGTAGATGGTGGAGGGGGAAGCACATGGTCAGGAAACCCGTGATAGGGGCACCTAATTTTTCGTAGTGTTGTGCTGCAAACGATGCCTGTCTGAGCGAGAAACAGCACCCTAGGCGAGACGAGAGGATAGACGAGGTACTCGGACACAGTACTGAGTCAATTTTTTACTGAAAGAAACCGAAACGATGGAAAATGTTGTCATGTTTTAGAAAAACAGAAACAGCCTTTGCGGTTATGGAACACTTCGTTGTCGTCGCCATTGGGGCTATTAATACGCAAGTGTGTGCAGTCGACACATCCTGTAACGCCAGGGAACCCGGCCACTTCATAAAAGTCCCGCATAACTTCAGTATGTGCCGCCAGCTGCAGAAAGCACACCAGCATCGCGTATAGGTGCTTTGCGATGAGTAGCGTAACTTTTCCAACTACACGGCACACTGCCCAGTACGGAATGCGGACGAGATTTCCGGTGACTGTTTGGGATGTGCCAGTGCCGTAAAATGAGTGCCATCAGTAGCTGTAGCATGGGAGGCACAGGCTGTCCTCAGTTGTCCCTACTTTCACGGAGCGGCAACATAGCCAGCAGCTGCTGCACGGCGTTCTTCGTGAATCTGTATCGAGCATAGAATTGTTCCTCATTGTACAGCTCCATCAGATACCCTCGGTCACGTAAAGCGGGTCGAGGAATCTTCGGCTGGCAGTGCACCTCAGAAAATGCTACGCTTATGGCGTAGCCAGCAAACACAAAAGCGGCCAACCTCCACACGATGTTCATTCAAGAGGTGGCCATGTTAGAATAACCCATCAAGTTGCTTTTAAGCTAGCCCTACAGCTGACTTGAAACTTGTCCTGGCTTTGACCGAGTCAAGTCGCCTTTTCAAATCGTCCGCAAGTTTGAGAACGATTTATGGCAAGTGGCAAGACTGTCTTGAGTTAAGTACGAGTCAAGGAACATCTCTGCATTGTAATGTGAAAAGCATATTAGTACAGTAAAACCTTGCTCATATGTTCTTGTTTATTATTATGATTTCCTGACTAATTTTTGCTTTTCATTTTTCCGTAGTTTATATTTGGAGGTGCGAATAGTATCCAGGGGCGGGTTAAACACGAGAAAATGATTTACTCGGTGGAGACGGAATATATAATACCAATTGTATATCAGCTTTCCCTTCAATTGTTGCTGTCGTCTTGCTTATGTTTTGTCCCTGGAACAGGAGCTGTCACGAGAGCTGCAGTTGACCAAGAAGCGCCTTGAGCAGCAGCAGGATGCCCAGGGTAGCCCTCGCCAGGGCTCTGCGCCTGAACCTCTTGGCTTGGGCTCGCGCACCAGCTCCACAGCATCACTGGAGACCCTGGGGTCAGGGCCAAGCCAGGTGGCAAGCAACCATCCCACAGTCACCTTCGTCAATGCAGGGAGAACCACTGTTCCGGTGAGTGGCATGTAGTTAATTTTGTCCCCGCAGCATTGTGCATGTGCTAAATGCAAGCAATGTGTGGTTATGCAATATGAGCGCATTAGTGTTAATGTCTTTTACAGTTCCTGACAGAACAACGGTAATTAGGTAATAAGTTCATTGACATTTAACATACAGCAGCAAGTAATTAATAGAACTTTTTGTTAGTTTGATCATAACATATGTTAAGGTGTCATCGGAATGCTGATTAGGATGCTGGCTTCTCCATTATTCTCCTCCCATTTTCTCAATGATTGACTCTACTGATTCTGCGTCTCCTGCTTGCCCCCTCTCCTTTCAAGTAACACCAGTTGTGATTCATGTGTATTTTGCATTTGGCATTCTGTGTTGTAAGTTGTGTTCCATATTCAAGCAAGAGTCGCTCCATGGCATGTGTCCCAGTTACTTTGAGGAGTACCCTGGATTTTCTAAAAAAAAAAACTAGCTTTGCAAAGAGCATTTTTCCTAAAATATTATTGCTTAAAAGTTGTTTCTCATCATGTGAGGCACTTTCTCAGCTCGCTAAGTTCTGTCAGACATGGCACTAAAAAAATATTGTATCTCCTTCAGTGGTGGTGGCTATGTTTGTGTGTGCAATTAGTTTGTACTAGCTGGGTGAACTTGTGGTCAAAAAAGAACAAAGCACATTGTCTATTAGATGAATTTAACCTTCTGCATAGTCAGTGTGACTTGACATAATCTCACTCTGCTGGGTGTGACCACATCCGAACACATTGTTGAATGCACTTTGATGTTCTATGGGTTGTGCGATTTGCCGCATTCCAGAACAGACGTTAAAAGTATCGCTTTTTTTTTTTCTTTTCTAAATTAATTCAACAAAGAACTCATTTCTCAGAAATTAGGAGTCTATGATTTCTTTAAGTTTGCATCAAAATGAAACGTGACTGTCTGTTGAATGATAAAGTATTTAACTACATATTAATTACAAATAATTGCTGAAATACTCAAAACAATGCATTATTTCATTTTTTTTCTTGGAATGTAATATCAATTGCCTAGTAATTATATGGTGTGAATTCGATACATTCGTCTACAGTGCATCATAATTGGTGACTGAAGGAGATATGTACAGGGTGTTTTTGTTTGTTTGTTATTAAACAATACAGATTTCTTACACAAATTTTATGACAGTAAGGCTCTAGTTATTTCTTCGCACAAACTGCACGTCGAGGCAAAAATACCATATTTACTCACGTAATGAACGCACTCGCGTAATAAACGCACCCCCAACTTCAGACATCAAAATTTGGATATTTTTTTCCGCATAATAAACGCACTCCCTACATTAATCTGCTGCAGTCTCGCTAACAGACACCCGGCGCCTCCTCACCCATTGGATCTACTGTTTATTATTTTGCCGCCCCCCCCCCTCTCCGGCCACCTCTGCTCACTTCTTCTCCCCCTTTGCTCGTTGCCACATGCCGTATTGTTTTTCTTTCTATCTGTGTGCAGAACGTCCGTCCGTCTCCCCCCCCCCCCCGTATTATTTGTGCACCACAGCGGGGCTCACGAACAGTGCGAATGTAAACATCTCAGCTGATAAGCACGCAGCGAGCGAAGGTCACGAAGCTTCCTGCGCCAACCGACGATCGCTTCCTGCGAATACGAAAAAGCTCAACCATGCGCATGTGATTTTCGAGCGACGATGACGAGATTTGCTGTTGCAAAAGGTCATTCATCATTATTGCATCACAAGTTTCTGGAAAACCAGAAACCTATAGCTTGTTGTCCAGAAAAGATCATGATGATTTCCGCAACTTAATAGCACCCCTGATTCTCGCTTCGCTTGTTATCCGCACATAGAAAAACTTCTCGTGTAGAAGTGAGGCGGCCGTATTTCGTCGTTAGTCTTGTTATTGGCTGTTTGTTTTGATGCTTTGGAGGTAGCTTGCTGTTATGCTGGTCACTTGCTACAGTGTTAAAGGCGTCGTGACGGTCCTCGTGCGAGGTTGCCGTGAAGTTGGCAAAGTGTGTCGTAGCGTCGTAGCACACGTTTTTGGGTGCCCCTCGAGATCACAGTAGATATTGCAGTTAACCGATTGCGAGAAAATATAGCCGCAAAACGCTTTTATGGCATGTGCGGGCGGCCCGGGGACGGCTTGCAGAAAATAGCGCCATCAACCACCGAACATGAGTAAAGTGCAACAAAGAAGCTGTTTCCAAACAACGTAAGTTTATGTCAATTGCGAAAAGCTAAGCAACTTAACTTTTTTGCATTACCCCATTTTTTGCTCCTCTTGAAAAAGTTTTCATAAAATTTAACTCCCATAATAAATGCACCCCCAACTTTGCTCCGATTTTTTTAGAAAAAAAAAAGCGTTCATCACACGAGAAAATACGGTACTTTGCCACAGTTAACATGACACTGTTATGGTTAATTTTAAAAACTCAATAATTAACTTTTTCATTATTGACTTGAGTGCCATTGTTTATATTAGAAGGTTGTAATCCATCATAATTCGTGCCATACCCGTTTTTTTAGAAATGCCAAAAGTTGCTTGTACACAGAAATAAAGAATTGTTTCTTTGTTGAATTGTATAAATAATTATTATCGTAAAATTTACAGTACACCTCATATTTTTGCTATGCACTACATATTGTGAATAGTGATTGTATTGCATGCGACTTGCACAGCAAGATTGTGGATTCATCTCCAAAGTTGAGCTCAGCAAAGTTTTCTTTCTTTGCTTTTTCATTCCGCTTTGCTCCTTGCCATTCCCCTTTTTCTGGGCCACAAATGTTGCAACTGCACTTGCTTGCTGCATTTTCTATATGATATTTAGCATCCTTCTAAAATGGCTTCCCTTGCTTTCAGATAACACATTTTCAGGCAACACACTCCTTTGGCCCCAAATTCACGTAGACAGCCCTTGCTTTCAGTTTACACACTTTCAGGCAACACACTTCTTTGGCCCCAGATTCACGTAGACATCATCCCTGGGTGGACCCACCCAGGGGAAACCAGCAGTCACCTTTCTCTGTCTCTCTCTTCCCCCACTTCTTCATCTTTCTTTTTTACTTTCAATCTGTCCTGTCATGTTTTCTCTGTCGTTTACTTTCAATTTTTCGTGACGACAAGGGTTAACCTCATGGAGTTATCCAACCTTGGATAGTTATATTAGGTTATAGCGGCGATGCATGGCGGGCGACTCCAAGTGTTTGTCACTCAACCTTGGAGCGTCCCCTTGTTGGTCTCGGTAGTGGATCGCCACCATCGCCGCCAAACTTTGAATACCTCACATGAAAAACCCTTTTTCTGCCCTTTCTGATCGCCGCTTGAAAAGTTGGCACACCGATGAAAGCTTCATTTTTCCACAGCCCAAACAGACCTTTCCCAAGCATCATGGAATTCATTTGAAGGATAACAAAGCAGTTCAAGTGATTTCATCATTTATTGTGGCAAGAACTCTCACAGGAGTAAATGGCCCAGGGTATAAAGTGACAAAGATGGGCAGTGGCAATCTCCTTCTAGAAGTCTGCGACAAGACCCAGTATGACAAGCTGTCCAAACTCGTGGCATTTGGCAATGTATTCCAGTATCGGTGGGCCCACACGTCTTGATAAACACAGCGCGCGGTGTCATCTCTAAAGATGACCACATCAAACTATCTGAAAGTGAACTGCTGGAAGGTTGGTAGAAGCAAAACGTTGTTTGATGTCCAAAGGATTACAATAGACAGTTAGTTTTCCGTGCTTAGCGGTATAGCGGGATCGAATTGCGCATGCACAGTGATATACGTGACCCGTACCACTCACCATAGGCATACTATTTTTCAGATTTTATATTACCGTCTTAGCGTGGTTTACCTAGTGTACGTAAAACATGGTGGCAGTTTCAGATGCTTGCCTCGAAGTGATTTTGCTGTAGTTGTTGAAATATTCACTTCATTCACAGCAAACGATTGTTTAAAATGGCTTTGCTTGCTTTCATTTAGCTTCGATGACCGAGTATTACAAATAAGTTAGCATAGTTTTTGAGACAGCTCCCGATTTCGAACGTCTTTAGGCTTAACTAGAAAATCAATGTAAACAAATTGGCAATGTTTTTGCATTTGGTGTGTGATTCATATTTATTTACTTTTATTATTACTAACAAAAACTTGTAACATTGCTTCGCACGGTGACACAGGCAAACCATTTTCGTTTTCTTTTCCTTTTCACTGTTCTTTAACATATTCACCCTCCAATAGGTGGCACCACTGTCCCAGCTGGGGTCCGTAAACCACTTAAACGCTATTCCCTTAACCCCCGCTATCACGCCAACAGTAAACTATAACTGTCTAATAAGGCGAGACGAGAAACAGATTCTAACAAAACACATTAGCATTCCTACCTGAATCCATTGAAACCACTTACTGTAAGCTCAATGTTAGACCTTATATACCCAATCCTTGTCGATGTTTTAAGTGCCAGCGCTTTGGACACGAATCACAAACCTGCTAGAGTATGTGCTAGTTGCGCAAAGTGTGCATCCAGTCAACACACATCCGACAGCTGCACCTCTGAAGCCCGTTGCGCTAACTGTGAAGGAGATCATCCAGTTTACTCGCGATCATGCCCTGCTTGGAAAAAAAGAGAAACAGATCATAGAAGTTAAAGTCAAATTCAACATGTCCTTCCAGGAGGCATTCAAACGATTTTCCATACATAACCAGTCCAATTCATCCTTCGCCGAAGTGGCACATCGGGGCACCATGCCACGCTCTTTGGTGCCCACGATACTCACACGGGGTGTGACCGCGGTCGTGCCTGTAGCGCCCTGGCCAAAGTAGCCTGTGCTGCTCCACCGTCTGCCAACCAGGGTCAGTGGACTTCCCAAGTCTTCCGGACCCCGGGCCACTGCAATCATAGTTATGTTCGAAACTGCTGTGAACATGCCTACCGTGCAGGCACCATCTGTAACCTCATAAGTGGTGATAGATACTAGCCACACTCTTCCGGCACTCCAGACATT